AGAGCTCCACATTAAGTATGCTGTACTCAGAGCTCCACATTAAGTATGCTGCACTGAGAGCTCCACATTAAGTATGCTGCACTCAGAGCTCCACATTAAGTATGTTGCACTCAGAGCTCCATATTAAGTATGCTGCACTCAGAGCTCCACATTAGGTATGCTGCATTCAGAGCTCCATATTAAGTATGCTGCACTCAGAGCTCCACGTTAAGTATGCTGCACTACTCAGAGCTCCACGTTAAGTATGCTGCACTCAGAGCTCCACATTAAGTATGCTGCACTCAGAGCTCCACGTTAAGTACGCTGCACTCAGAACTCCACATTAAGTACGCTGCACTCAGAGCTCCACATTAAGTATGCTGCACTCAGAGCTCCACATTAATTATGCTGCACTCAGAGTTCCACATTAAGTATGCTGCACTCAGAGCTCCACATTAAGTATGCTGCACTCAGAGCTCCACATTAAGTATGCTGCACTCAGAGCTCCACATTAAGTATGCTGCACTCAGAGCTCCACATTAAGTTTGCTGCACTCAGAGCTCCACGTTAAGTATGCTGCACTCAGAGCTCCACATTAAGTATGCTGCACTCAGAGCTCCACATTAAGTATGCTGCACTCAGAACTGCACATTAAGTATGCTGCACTCAGAGCTCCACATTAAGTATGCTGCACTCAGAACTCCACATTAAGTATGCTGCACTGAGAGCTCCACATTAAGTATGCTGTACTCAGAGCTCCACATTAAGTATGCTGCACTGAGAGCTCCACATTAAGTATGCTGCACTCAGAGCTCCACATTAAGTATGCTGCACTCAGAGCTCCACATTAAGTATGCTGCACTCAGAGCTCCACATTAGGTATGCTGCATTCAGAGCTCCATATTAAGTATGCTGCACTCAGAGCTCCACGTTAAGTATGCTGCACTACTCAGAGCTCCACGTTAAGTATGCTGCACTCAGAGCTCCACATTAAGTATGCTGCACTCAGAGCTCCACGTTAAGTATGCTGCACTCAGAGCTCCATATTAAGTATGCTGCACTCAGAGCTCCACATTAAGTATGCTGCACTCAGAGCTCCACGTTAAGTATGCTGCACTCAGAGCTCCATATTAAGTATGCTGCACTCAGAGCTCCACATTAAGTATGCTGCACTCAGAGCTCCACATTAAGTATGCTGCACTCAGAGCTCCACATTAAGTATGCTGCACTCAGAGCTCCACATTTAGTATGCTGCACTCAGAGCTCCATATTAAGTATGCTGCACTCAGAGCTCCATATTAAGTATGCTGCACTCAGAGCTCCATATTAAGTATGCTGCACTCAGAGCTCCACATTAAGTATGCTGCACTCAGAGCTCCACATTAAGTATGCTGCACTCAGAGCTCAACATTAAGTATGCTGCACTCAGAGCTCCACATTAAGTATGCTGCACTCAGAGCTCCACATTAAGTATGCTGCACTCAGAGCTCCACATTAAGTATGCTGCACTCAGAGCCCACATTAAGTATACTGCACTCAGAGCTCCACATTAAGTATGCTTTACTCAGAGCTCCACATTAAGTATGCTGCACTCAGAGCTCCACATTAAGTATGCTGCACTGAGAGCTCCACATTAAGTATGCTGCACTCAGAGCTCCACATTAAGTATGCTGCACTCAGAGCTCCATATTAAGTATGCTGCACTCAGAGCTCCACATTAAGTATGCTGCACTCAGAGCTCCACATTAAGTATGCTGCACTCAGAGCTCCACATTAAGTACGCTGCACTCAGAACTCCACATTAAGTACGCTGCACTCAGAGCTCCACATTAAGTATGCTGCACTCAGAGCTCCACATTAAGTATGCTGCACTCAGAGCTCCACATTAAGTATGCTGCACTAGTCAGAGCTCCACATTAAGTATGCTGCACTCAGAGCTCCACATTAAGTATGCTGCACTCAGAGCTGCACATTAAGTATGCTGCACCCAGAGCTCCACATTAAGTATGCTGCACTCAGAGCTCCACGTTAAGTATGCTGCACTCAGAGCTCCACATTAAGTATGCTGCACTCAGAACTCCACATTAAGTATGCTGCACTCAGAGCTCCACATTAAGTATGCTGCACTAGTCAGAGCTCCACATTAAGTATGCTGCACCCAGAGCTCCACATTAAGTATGCTGCACTCAGAGCTCCACATTAAGTATGCTGCACTAGTCAGAGCTCCACATTAAGTATGCTGCACTCAGAACTCCACATTAAGTATGCTGCACTCAGAGCTCCACATTAAGTATGCTGCACTCAGAGCTCCACATTTAGTATGCTGCACTCAGAACTCCACATTTAGTATGCTGCACTCAGAGCTCCACATTAAGTATGCTGCACTCAGAGCTCCACATTAAGTATGCTGCACTCAGAGCTCCACATTAAGTATGCTGCACTCAGAGCTCCACATTTAGTATGCTGCACTCAGAGCTCCACATTAAGTATGCTGCACTAAATGCTGCTATTGCAAATAAATATCGCAAGCTATTACAAGTTGTCAATGCCCTGTATAATAACACGTTAAAAGTTAAATAGTGGTCAAACTGCAGCCACGGTGATTTGAATATTTTAGTTGACAAGTTGAATTGTTGATGAAGGAGCATAAGACAACTGTCAGATAACTCAATGACCGACTTCGCGATCGTAATTTATTAAATCATTAAGAATTCTCGTCATTCTACATTAAAGTTGAAGTCTCTCTCTTTCTCTCTAACTCTTAATTATTTTAGTTAAGTTTTAGTTGTTATATAACACTTTCAAAGTTGTTCTATGTTCTACATTCTAGACAAAATAACACTCAGAATTATAGTCTCCTATAATAAATAACATTATCACCGTCGTTCTACTTTCTAGACAAAGTAAGACTAAGAAGCTGTTATATTAGACTACTTGAACTGTATAGTAGGGCAGTATCAAGATAGACACGTGCTAAGTCTGTATTCTTCTAGACCAAATGAGCAGATTTTGTAATACTACTACTTCTACATAGTAGAATGTAGTAGTAGTACTTCTTCGCCTGTATATCTACAATAAATAATTATGAGACTAAATTATTATAAACAATATAAAGGTGTCTATATTATTATAAACAATATGATATAAAGGTGTCTATATTACTATAAACACCTTTCTCGGACTCGGTGACCAGGAGTTACACAGGAGGCCTCAACAATTTCAGAGAGTGAAGTTAGTTACCTGGGAACCTCAGGTACTTGACTCTCAATACTCAAGTAGCGCCTGATCGCGAATAAGGAGGTAACTAGTAGTGTCACTAGTAGTGTTACTATGGTAACTAGTTACTTTTTTGTAATTACGTACCTATAAATAGCACGGCTTGTCGTGAGAAGTTTAACAATGAGAAAGATATTCAGAACCCCTACATATGAGAGGGAGGGGACGTGAAAGTAACCCCTACATATGAGAGGGAGGGGACGTGAAAGTAACCCCTACATATGAGAGGGAGGGGACGTGAAAGTAACCCCTACATATGAGAGCGAGGGGACGTGAAAGTAACCCCTACATATGAGAGGGAGGGGACGTGAAAGTAACCCCTACATATGAGAGGGAGGGGACGTGAAAGTAACCCCTACATATGAGAGGGAGGGGACGTGAAAGTAACCCCTACATATGAGAGGGAGGGGACGTGAAAGTAACCCCTACATATGAGAGGGAGGGGACGTGAAAGTAACCCCTACATATGAGAGGGAGGGGACGTGAAAGTAACCCCTACATATGAGAGCGAGGGGACGTGAAAGTAACCCCTACATATGAGAGGGAGGGGACGTGAAAGTAACCCCTACATATGAGAGGGAGGGGACGTGAAAGTAACCCCTACATATGAGAGGGAGGGGACGTGAAAGTAACCCCTACATATGAGAGGGAGGGGACGTGAAAGTAACCCCCACATATGAGAGGGAGGGGACGTGAAAGTAACCCCTACATATGAGAGGGAGGGGACGTGAAAGTAACCCCTACATATGAGAGGGAGGGGACGTGAAAGTAACCCCTACATATGAGAGGGAGGGGACGTGAAAGTAACCCCTACATTTGAGAGGGAGGGGACGTGAAAGTAACCCCTACATATGAGAGGGAGGGACGTGAAAGTAGCCCCTACATATGAGAGGGAGGGGACGTGAAAGTAACCCCTACATATGAGAGGGAGGGGACGTGAAAGTAACCCCTACATTTGAGAGGGAGGGGACGTGAAAGTAACCCCTACATATGAGAGGGAGGGGACGTGAAAGTAACCCCTACAAGGCCTACATATGAGAGGGAGGGGACGTGAAAGTAACCCCTACATATGAGAGGGAGGGGACGTGAAAGTAACCCCTACATATGAGAGGGAGGGGACGTGAAAGTAACCCCTACATATGAGAGGGAGGGGACGTGAAAGTAGCCCCTACATATGAGAGGGAGGGGACGTGAAAGTAACCCCTACATATGAGAGGGAGGGGACGTGAAAGTAACCCCTACATATGAGAGGGAGGGACGTGAAAGTAGCCCCTACATACCTACCTTGGGTACATGACGGGCATGAGGTACTGAATTAAAAAGTATGAAGTTTGTAACAAGATTACCAGGTACTAATAAGTGTCAACAGCAGGAGTAGTAGCTACCATAAGTAGTCGAGCCTCCAGATTTAACGAAACTTGATACGAAGTTAATATTGATATATCTAGAACTTGTCCTTACAACCTGGCTACTCTCTCTAAATCATTCTGCTCTATGTATAATAGTGAGAATGTAGCAGTAAAGATTTCCCTCTATTAGTGTCAACATTTTTACTGCTATCAAGTTAATACTTTTGATAGATTGGTAAACTGTGACTATGGTAACTAGTAGTGTCACTAGCAGTGTAACTATGGTAACTAGTAGTGTCACTAGTAGTGTTACTATGGTAACTAGTTACTTCTTTTGGTAAACTGTAACTCGTAATAAGCGCCATGAAATGAAACAAAACAAATAAAACGCGGAAATAGTTGAGAAAATTAGAAATTATTGCGGAAAATCGTTTTTTGAGTTAGAAGTGTAACAGAGTGTCACTAGTTTCTCTAGTAGTCTAATAGTAGTAGTAGTAGTACTAATAGAGTTGTAGGAAACCGTCTAAATTCGGTAAATAACACGACAACAAGTCGTGAGTGCAAACTTATTAAAACAGATAAAAATGTAAAACATACCTACAAAAATATAAACAGTTCAGTGGTCAATGATAAAACATAAAAATACAGTAAAAACTAGAGAACTACCAGTCACAGACTTTATATTCAGAAGGTGGTCCAATAAGTACCCTCGCAGTCCTTACAAATACTGTAGTTGTCATGGCTACCAGACAAATACCCACATTTCTCTTCTTCGGAGACAGATAAATGAGCAGGTAGCCATGACAACCCCCCTCCTGGGCCAATGAGCGGGCGATCTGGCCAGAGCCTGTGCCACATTGGGGGGTAGTCATGACAACCACATTACCAGGCACGCCCCACCATCTGTATAGATTATACCGAAAAACAAGACAAGGGCAGTATTGTCCCCTAACTAAACATTAGCCTGCACCAGACGGGACTTTGTGATTACAATCACGAGGTCGTAATAATTCACGTTAAAATACAAAGTTCTATAAAAGTAGGTTCGTAACACAATGTCCATTGTTAAAGAGTGTACAAATGCAGTGTTAAGTGCATTTGATGGAGCTCCCTAGTATTTAAAATAGAGACTATACTTAATATAATATAGAGGTGTGAAAATATGAGAAAGTTAAAACGTCACATAGTCCACAGAGTAACACTAAACAGTGCATGTCTCGTCGCTAATACACTGTTACAAAGTCCACAGAGTAACACTACTCCACCGTGTTGTCATAGTAACACTACTCCACCGTGTAGTATTCCTTTACAGAGGGCCGGATAGATGTACCGGACATGGTTACTTGCTCTGCTTCTAAGAACTCGTGCAGATCTACCGTCCTGCGAACATTATTAGTTTACTAATTAATTAATTACTTAATCAATATCAAAACTAACTACAACGTTAATAGTTACCATATTGCAAAAAAATACGTAGTTCGTAAAATATGATAATCAAGCTTTTAATGTGACAAGAATGCAGTTTTAATACTTTCTACACTACTATATAACTATATAACATAAATATGGAGATTATGAAAACAGTTGAAAGAGACTCACTCTCCGTTGATGGCTAGAGAGCGAATTGCCCCCTCGAAGGGGAGAAGTTGAGGGACTACGTCGAGAAGTAAGGGGACGGTATGAGGAACACCGGCTAACCAGAAGCCATGTGATGTGGGGTACACTACGTTCTCTCTCAACATCGTACTAGACGTGAACCTGAGGGGGTAAGGGGTCAGTCAGGGGGCCATTTGGGGGTAAGGGGTCAGCCAGGGGGCCATTTGGGGGTAAGGGGTCAGTCAGGGGGCCATTTGGGGGTAAGGGGTCAGCCAGGGGGCCATTTGGGGGTAAGGGGTCAATCAGGGGGCCAGTTGGGGTAAGGGGTCAGTCAGGGGGCCATTTGGGGTAAGGGGTCAATCAGGGGGCCATTTGGGATAAGGGGTCAGTCAGGGGGCCATTTGGGGGTAAGGGGTCAGCCAGGGGGCCATTTGGGGGTAAGGGGTCAATCAGGGGGCCAGTTGGGGTAAGGGGTCAGTCAGGGGGCCATTTGGGGTAAGGGTCAGTCAGGGGGCCATTTGGGGTAAGGGGTCAGTCAGGGGGCCATTTGGGGTAAGGGGTCAGCCAGGGGGCCATTTGGGGGTAAGGGGTCAGCCAGGGGGCCATTTGGGGGTAAGGGGTCAGTCAGGGGGCCATTTGGGGGTAAGGGGTCAGCCAGGGGGCCATTTGGGGGTAAGGGGTCAATCAGGGGGCCAGTTGGGGTAAGGGGTCAGTCAGGGGGCCATTTGGGGTAAGGGGTCAGCCAGGGGGCCATTTGGGGGTAAGGGGTCAATCAGGGGGCCAGTTGGGGTAAGGGGTCAGTCAGGGGGCCATTTGGGGTAAGGGGTCAGTCAGGGGGCCATTTGGGGTAAGGGGTCAGTCAGGGGGCCATTTGGGGGTAAGGGGTCAGCCAGGGGGTCATTTGTGTTAAGGGGTCAGTCAGGGGCCATTTGGGGTAAGGGGTCAGTCAGGGGGCCATTTGGGGGTAAGGGGTCAGCCAGGGGGTCATTTGTGTTAAGGGGTCAGTCAGGGGCCATTTGGGGTAAGGGGTCAGTCAGGGGCCATTTGGGGGTAAGGGGTCAGCCAGGGGGCAGGGGCCATTTGGGGGTAAGGGGTCAGTCAGGGGGCCATTTCGGGGTAAGGGGTCAGTGATGGGGCCATTTGTGGGTAAGGGGTCAGCCAGGGGGCCATTTGGGATAAGGGGTCAGTCCGGGGGCCATTTGGGGGTGAGGGGTCAGTCAGAGATCATTCAGAAAATTACCCGTCCATATTGAGCGTGATCTTGTCTCCCTCTCTCACTACGGAGACCTCGTGGAATGCACCGTCGCTAGCGTCCTGACCTGTCCTAACAGCGGTTTTAGCGTAGTTACGCATAGCAACGAACTCTACCTGTCCATCATCCACAGACAAGGATATACTGTTAAAACCTGAGTAATCCAAGTGTTACTATGACAACAAGAGCAGAGAATCACTGTGACAACGTTATTCGTCGAATTGTTACCACTACCAGCCAACAATGTAGGAAAATATTTTATCTTAAAAATTGTAAAAAGAAGGAATACGATGTAAGGTATCTGAGAAACGAACCGAGAGCGTCACTAGCGAAGAATATGACCCCGTAAGGTTGAGTAGTCCTGATCCTGATGTCAACTCTGAAGTTCTCCTCGAAGTCTACTCCTTCGTACCTCGCATATCCTGCCCCAAACGCAGTAAGACCGTCTGCTGCTTTGGAGAGGAGACAAGTCGGGGCCATGCCCTGGAACACCTCAGCGTCCTGGTGGTCCAGGGAGAAGAGGATCTCGTCCACAGAGACACTCCTGACGACCCCACTGAGGGAGGTGGTGTTGTCTCCCCCCACCAAGATCTGCTTACAGTCCTCCTCGTGCCAACTCATGGTGTCCGACAGAGTGTACTGTGAAGTGATGACGTCATCAACACTCAGAGTAGCATTCCTCCCCGTCAGCTCCACTGAGATCTTAGACTGGGTAAAGGTGGACACGTACTCTGCTGCATCCACTCCAGCTGGCTCATACTCAGCATGCGGTCCCGTGATTTTAGGAATACCGTTCACTAACGACACGTCTAAAGACTGCGTTGTGTTAACGTTGTATAGACTGAAGAGCAAACCATCTCTATCGTATGTTTGAAGTCTGACGTCTATCTTGAGAGTCTTGTCCTCAGACACACTGACTCCGTTGCAAGGATACAGGGCGTAACCCCACCCCTTCATACAGAGCCCGTTCCTGGGGGCTTCGGAGAACTGGGAGAGTTTAACAAGAGCTTGTGTGGGAGCTAGGCTACCTCCACTCTCCGTATAGTCCCATAATCCTATCAGCTTGTTACTGATGTACAGCTGAGATATGGAGCCCTTGTACATGTCTGACTTAGCTGTGTTGTTAGCGGTGTCTCGTGAACACCCTACGAAGAAGTACCCGGAAGTGTCCAGCTCCAACAGGTCCAGACTACCTCCGTTAGCACCGGAGAAGGATTTTATCTGATCGTTTCCGCTGTCGATGGAAATGTAGCCGAACTTCCCGTTCCTGGACACTCTGACTGTGTGCCAGCTGTCATCATCTACCTGGACATCAGTGTCAACTGTGGTGCTCCCTTCACCGATATCAAACTTTAGTTGTACCCTACCCCCCACAAGCCTCAGATGGAACATGTCAGTTGAGCTCCTGGCGCCCAGGTACAGCAGAGTTCCAGAACTTTCTTCTGTTTTGATCATCATGGAAAGCGCGGTGTATCTGGAGCTCTGTTCAGCGACGAGAGGCATGGGTAACTTGAGATAAGAGTAATCAGTCATCTTCATTCCTACTTGAACTGTAGAGGTTACCTCTCGTACTGCTACCATTTTCTTCTTTATCTCCTCCATCTTAGTCTCTAGCTCTCTCATTTTCTCCGCTAAACTTACAGATGGCTTGACTTTCAGTTGCTCAATCTTAGAGTCGATTGAATCTTCGTTCTGTCCGTCCACAAGTCGCATAGCCTTCTCAATGTTCTGAGAATTCTGCTCGGCTGATTCCTGCAGCTCTGAAACCTTGTCCTCAGACGCGGAGATGAACTCTTCAGCCTTCTGTTTCTTTTTGTGTATCTTTTCGTGCTTTTTGAGCTCCTTGTTCAGCTCCTCGGAAACATCAGTGAACCCCTCCGCGCTGTGCACAGACACGTATCTCTTAGCTCTGGGCTGGTGCTCTGTCTGCTCCACCACACCATCCAGCCGTCCCCTCAGCTCCAGGTTCTTAGCCTGACTCTCCGATATCAGTCTCTCCATATCATCTGCCTGCACCTTCCCCTCCAGAGTTGGTATCGTGCTCTCCAGGTTGACTGACATCTGAGTCATGGCGTTCAACTCGTCCTGTTTGCTGTTCATGTTAGTGCCCGTCCACTCGTTGAGGAGACGTGAGGCCTGGTTCGCTGTGGTCTGCAGTCTGGTGATGGTGTCTGACAGAACTGTACTTTCGTTTATGAACGACTGTAGATCTGTTACTAACTGAGGGAGAGATAATAATTAGTAATTAATCCATTTCAATCTGCAAACCCTACGTTACACACACACACACACAACCTGCAAACCCTACGTTACACACACACACACACACAACCTGCAAACCCTACGTTACACACACACACACACACAACCTGCAAACCCTACGTTACACACACACACACACACACAACCTGCAAACCCTACGTTACGCTTAACAATTCCCTATACGAGGAGTTACTAACAGTCAACAGTCACACACACACACACACACACACTCACGCACGCACGCACACACGCACACACACACACACACCTGCAAACCCTACGTTACGCTTAATAATTCCCTATACGAGGAGTTACTAACAGTCAACAGACACACACACATGATATTGATAAGTCTGATTGCTAGGTAACCACAGTAACCACAGTAACCATGACAGTACCTGCACAGGAGCATTATCAGGGGTCTCCATGAAGAGTTTGACAGGTCTACAGAGGTGATGTATTTTCTCTTTATTACTGGTCATGTCCAGGTCCCCGGAACTGTCCAGGAACTCAGCTCTCTCCTCCACATCCTCTCTCAGTTCCTCTGACAAGTCCTGCTCGTCCGGGTTAAAGTGCTGGTCTAGTGTCGTCTCTACTGTGACCAGTTCGTTGTGCAGGTCGAACAGTGAGTTTTCGTCCACAGTCTCCAGGAGAGTTGTTACTCGGGTCTCCAGTGCTTTCCTCCTGTTATTATTATCAATTATTTGATCTTAGTTAACTGTTATAGTATGCGTTAACACGTGACGTGCTACACGTTAAGAGGTATACACTTATACAGCGTGTGTTAACCAAAGCAAACCTTCTTTCGAATGACTTCTTGAGGTTGGAGAGGTCTCCAGTAACACTGTCGCTGTCACTGGTGAACTCGTCAATAGGGGAGGCGACACTGTCCACAGCGTTAGCTAACACTTCCTTCATGTTGCCAGACAGAGTGGAGATCCTGGTTCCAATATTCTCCAGGTCTGATCCTACAAACGAGCCATCTGTGGGAAGAGGGTTATAATGAGTACACTAATTAATAATTAGTTAACTATTAATTAATAATTAGTAAACGGCGTTGTTAGGGGACACTACTGATGCTGCGTTGTTATGGGACACTACTGATGCGGCGTTGTTAGGGGACACTACTGATGCGGCGTTGTTAGGGGACACTACTGATGCGGCGTTGTTAGGGGACACTACTGATGCGGCGTTGTTAGGGGACACTACTGATGCGGCGTTGTTATGGGACACTACTGATGCAGCGTTGTTAGGGGACACTACTGATGCGGCGTTGTTAGGGGACACTACTGATGCGGCGTTGTTGGGGACACTACTGATGCGGCGTTGTTGGGGACACTACTGATGCGGCGTTGTTAGGGGACACTACTGATGCGGCGTTGTTAGGGGACACTACTGATGCGGCGTTGTTAGGGGACACTACTGATGCTGCGTTGTTATGGGACACTACTGATGCAGCGTTGTTAGGGGACACTACTGATGCGGCGTTGTTAGGGGACACTACTGATGCGGCGTTGTTGGGGACACTACTGATGCGGCGTTGTTGGGGACACTACTGATGCGGCGTTGTTAGGGGACACTACTGATGCGGTGTTGTTATGGGACACTACTGATGCGGCGTTGTTAGGGGACACTACTGATGCTGCGTTGTTATGGGACACTACTGATGCGGCGTTGTTAGGGGACACTACTGATGCTGCGTTGTTAGGGGACACTACTGATGCGGCGTTGTTAGGGGACACTACTGATGCGGCGTTGTTAGGGGACACTACTGATGCGGCGTTGGTATGGGACACTACTGATGCGGCGTTGTTATGGGACACTACTGATGCGGCGTTGTTAGGGGACACTACTGATGCGGCGTTGTTAGGGGACACTACTGATGCGGCGTTGTTAGGGGACACTACTGATGCGGCGTTGTTATGGGACACTACTGATGCGGCGTTGTTATGGGACACTACTGATGCTGCGTTGTTAGGGGACACTACTGATGCTGCGTTGTTATGGGACACTACTGATGCGGCGTTGTTACGGGACACTACTGATGCGGCGTTGTTATGGGACAGTACTGATGCGGCGTTGTTAGGGGACACTACTGATGCGGCGTTGCTGGGGACACTACTGACGCGGCGTTGTTAGGGGACACTACTGATGCGGTGTTGTTATGGGACACTGCTGATGCGGCGTTGTTAGGGGACACTACTGATGCGGCGTTGTTATGGGACACTACTGATGCGGCTTTGTTAGGTGACAGTACTGATGCGGCGTTGTTATGGGACAGCAAGAGTGAGGAAACAAACAAAGTACTTACAGTCAGCGTATACAGAGGAGTTGAGGGAAGACATTTCGTCGATTAACTTTTGTTTGACCAAGTAAATCTTCCTCTTTTTCATGTTGTTGATCTTGTTCTTGCTCTTCTTTATAGCTTTCTTAATAACTGCCGGGGCAGCTGCTGTTATCTTCACGTTATCAATCAAATCTTTAGAGGACTGAGCTGAGGCGAGGATCTCGTGATAGGTGGAGTTGCTTGCAGAGGTTAGCGAGCTCACTGACTCCACCTTTTCCTCTTTAGATCTGATCATATCTTCCGTTTCTTCCAACTGTAAACAAATATCTTTTTATTGAAGATGATCAATGTTTTGTTAACAGAAATTCAGTCAAAATAATGGATTGAACCAAAACAAGACTGCGATAAGAAAATTTATTTAGCATTAAGATAATATGAAACTGTAGAGCAATGAAAGAGGAATTCAATAGAGTTCTATAATGCTTCATGATGTTGTTTCCTTCTTTTACATATACTTGCTGGATTGTAAGATAAATATATAAATAGTATATAATATATATATATATATTGGATTGTGTACACCCTGTACAAATACATTTTACTATTTGTGAAAGTAAAGTAACCTTAACAAGAAGACTAGAGTCGTAGGAGTCAGCGAGCTTGTTGTACTTGTACTTGAGAGACCCGCTCTTGACGGGCACCTCCGAGCCCCACAATCCCACGTATCTCTCTACTTGATCAGACGTGTCTAAAGCATCCCTCTGAAATTGTAGTCGGTTATAATGGACACATAATTATTTATTATTCAAATCGAATTTATATTGAAGCAAACTATCACGTTAAAATTACCTAGCAACCAGATACAATTATTGGCTAAAAAGAAAATGATATCTGTTTCTAGTACCTTGAGAAGAATAGCAGTGTTCTTCATCTCGATGAGCTGCTCGATATCCTGGCTAATTCTGCCTCCAGCTTCCTTGGCCCGGATGGTCTCCCCGATCTGTTCGGCTAGTTCGTCAATATAATCCCCCATTATCACAGTGCAACCCGTGCAGTTCTCGCACCCCTCCGACGTGATCACTGCCCATTCTCCGCAGATGTCACATTGCTGTCCCGTGTTTCCCTCCAAACATTCACACTGCCCTGTCTCCTTGTCACAGTCCGTAGAGTTGGAGCCATGTATATTACAGTCACACTCTGAAATGGCACCAAATAATTAGTAGGCAATGTAATTGAATGGCGATATAAATTATAAAGAATATCCATCACTGAAAAACAAAGCGGCGCGCGTCTGCCGCGCGCGCGAGCGGCGAAGTGTTTGGTCGATTGCCGCCTTTTTGTATAAAATTGTAATTGACCAATCGCGCGCGCTGAACAAGTCACAAAAACCGTTTATAAATGGTTACCTGTGCAATGCCCCAATGTATTCAAGCCATAGAAATCTTCCTTGCACATATCACATTTGAAACCTTCCACCTCCTCGTGACAAACACATTGGCCAGTGGTCGTTTCACAAGCTCCTCCAATCGTTCCATTTTCATCACACTCACAGCTCGTACACCCAGTTCCTGAACAAAACGAGTCACATTAGAGGGGTCGTATTTTCAGACACATCTAATTAGTTTAACATTCCATAACTTAGTGTCTGGGGCTAGCTCATAGCCCCAAATTAGATCTCAGATAAAATACAAAGATTCGTGTTTCTAATCCAATCAGCGGGAGTGTGGATTCCTTTCCAATCAGACTCTAGATTCCTGACATACCACTAGTCGAGGATTTGTACTCCACATCTCCAATAAGAACTGCATCAGAGTGGAATGACATGGATTTCAAGTTCTTTGGCTTGTTATTGCAAAGTCCCGTGTTGGAAGTTTTGCGGTCGTAACTCTCTCCGGTCTCGAATGCACCTGAATTATCAAATTTTACACAAAGTATTAGCTGCAATAGTAATTAGATTTGCTAAGGTGACTTGATGGCTTGGAATCCAGTAAAATGGGGCGTTTTATCCAAACAAAATGAGATCAGGGATTGCGGAAACAAAAAGCAGAAAAAGTGATCTATTTTCCAGGATGAGTTAATGTTGAGTGTATACACCCTGACTGTAAAGGATGAGTGGGACATGCAAATGGAGTAGTGCTAGTAGCTTGTAACATGCAGGGACGGTTAAATTAACTTTGGTACATTTATTTGAACCAATGTAAAGCGTTTTACTTTTTATCAAGGTAATTTTATTTAGGTAGGTTCAGAGTATGCTCGATCAACAGTTATAACCCCGATTTACTGCGCAGGGAAACAGCCGCTAAATCGGGGTTTTACTGTTATGATATTGTGATCATTTTATCTTGATAATATATGTTGGTTTGAATAGAAATTCTTTCAGATATTGGATTTTTCGTAGAAACTAAATCACCGTGGCCGAAGAAAGCTCAAATAAGCGTTAAATATGGCACAGTGATATTATCTCTATGTACAATCAGGCACAGCGAGATTATCTGTATGTTAAATTTGTTCACAAAAGAGTAATCGGTTGAATGAGCAGCTGAGGACTCACTGTACACACTTATTGTGCCATTACACAATCTATTCATTGGATCTGGTAACGAGTCATCATATTCTGCTTCTTCTCCTACACAATTAATACTTTTAGTAACCTTAGTAACCACAAGTAGTACTTTTAGTAACCTTAGTAACCACAAGTATTACTTTTAGTAACCTTAGTTACCACAAGTATTACTTTTAGTAACCTTAGTAACCACAAGTAGTACTTTTAGTAACCTTAGTAACCACAAGTAGCACTTTTAGTAACCTTAGTAACCGCAAGTATTACTTTTAGTAACCTTAGTAACCACAAGAAGTACTTTTTTTACTTGTCGCACGGGTAATTTGGCATCATTTCTACAGTTTCCTTTTTTCGCCGCCGCTTTAGCTTTTCTGTTAAAAAGCGAGAACTTAACTACCATGTAATATATTTAATTAACAGTAAATATAATATAAGTAAAGAGATCCCACCGCCAATTTACATATTTGTAAAAGTGGTATAACAAGAAGAGTTAATTTAAATCTAACCATTAATGTAGAGCATAATCTCAGAGTCAGATACAGTGATCTCCAGGGTAACCGTTTCACTTCCCTCCAGCACAGACGGGTCAAACAGTTTAGTAAACTGACAGTTGCTATCTACTCCTATCGTGTAGGACGGTGGTAGTGCATCTTCTGATATCTCTATAAACTCTGCTGCGTCACCTGAACGTTAACTCTTAGTCCTGTGCACACTGTTTAATAAAACTCTGACAAAGCCAATGTGCAAACTTAAAAAAATACTTTTGCAATTCAACTACGATAGTGAAGTCCCGGCCGTAGGCACGGGTTACACTAGCAGCTTATAATGAGATTTTGGCAGAATATCCAAGGTGAGCCGCCTAGACAACTATATGCAAGTGTAGGAATTAAGCTAAACTTAAGAGACTTGTAACTAGATTCTAGCAATTAGGCTCCACTGTTTGTGTAAGAAGGAAGTAATAACCAAACTTCACGTATATATATACTATATACCTGTCTCATCGAAGAAAGTGATGCGCTGAACACTGCCCTGTGTACGCGTGAACTTCACCTCAAGATAGCGGGTAGAACTCTCAGGACCCGAACTGAGCTGCACCGCACACTCGCGTGACTCACACTCGGTGTCCTCAAACACACCAGCTGTGGGGTTTAAGAGGGGTTAGTAACCTTAGTAACCACAAGTTGTAACCTTAGTAACCGCACACTCGCGTGACTCGCACTCGGTGTCCTCAAACACACCAGCTGTGGATTTCAAGAGGGGTTAGTAACCTTAGTAACCACAAGTAGTAACCTTAGTAACCGCACACTCGCGTGACTCACACTCGGTGTCCTCAAACACACCAGCTGTGGAGTTCAAGCGGGGTTAGGGCGGTTATATTATATAGTAGGTAGTATGAGGGGGGGGGGTTAGATCTCAGTAAGACTGTCCTCACTAAATTCTTAATCACCAGCAAGAGACTACACGGTGAGATCACTTTTTCAAGGCAAAAATTAAGAATTAATTTAAAGATTCACACCTAAACTAAGTTCAGATTCACACCTAAACTAAGTTCAGATTCACACCTAAACTAAGTTCAGATTCACACCTAAACTAAGTTCAGATTCACACCTAAACTAAGTTCAGATTCACACTTAAACTAAGTTCAGATTCACACCTAAACTAAGTTCAGATTCACACCTAAACTAAGTTCAGATTCACACCTAAACTAAGTTCAGACTCACACTTAAACTAAGTTCAGATTCACACCTAAACTAAGTTCAGATTCACACCTAAACTAATTTCTGAATGACACCTAAACTAAGTTCAGATTCACACCTAAACTAAGTTCAGATTCACACCTAAACTAAGTTCAGATTCACACCTAAACTAATTTCTGAATGACACTATGTTGCTATGGTAACTAGTAGTGTAACTATGGTAACTGAATGACACTATGTTGCGTACCGTAGCTAGCGTTCCAGTGCCCGGGCTGACATTGGTCACACTGGTCGCCTATAACGTTAGGAAGACAGTTGCACTCCCCAGTAGAGCTGTCACACTGGCTCCCTGTTACTGTGCCCCAACTGTCGCAATCACAGCGCCCACAATCCTTGTCTTGTATCGCGTCTCCATAGAAACCGTCCGCACAGTGCTCGCACTGGTCCCCCGCTGTGTCCTAGTGTTTAATTATCACAGTCGATATATGGCAACGCCAGGTAGTTTTTATAAAAATATACGAGAAATTGTCCACTGAAAAATATTCCAAAATTTCGTGAAAAACAGCTCTCTTAAATAAAGTGGAGATTGAAATGATGTGTTTAGTGTAACCATGGTAATGATGAAGGGTGCAACTCACGAATAAGCAAAGGAGACAATCTCCGTTTGTAGTGTCGCAGTAGTCAGCTGTGATATCAGTGTTATTACTGCAGCTGGAGCACTGCTCACAACTTCCCCCCACTACAGTGGGAGCTCCATAGTAACCAGAACTACATTCCCCGCAGTTAGATCCTTCGTACCCTTCCTGGCAGTCACACGTCAAACTTCCTCCTACAGGGGCAGAGAATCAATTAACTGTTAATTAGTAATTAGTAATTAGTTAGATCCCTCGTACCCTTCCTGGCAGTCACACGTCAAACTTCCTCCTACAGGGGCAGAGAATCAATTAACTGTTAATTAGTAATTAGTAATTAGTTAGATCCCTCGTACCCTTCCTGGCAGTCACACGTCAAACTCCCTCCTACAGGGGCAGAGGATCAATTAACTGTTAATTAGTAATTAGTAATTAGTTAGATCCCTCGTACCCTTCCTGGCAGTCACACGTTAAACTTCCTCCTACAGGGGCAGAGAATAAATTAACTGTTAATTAGTAATTAGTAATTAGTTAGACCCCTCGTACCCTTCCTGGCAGTCACACGTCAAACTTCCTCCTAGAGGGGCAGAGAATCAATTAACTGTTAATTAGTAATTAGTAATTAGTTAGACCCCTCGTACCCTTCCTGGCAGTCACACGTCAAACTCCCTCCTACAGGGGCAGAGAATCAATTAACTGTTAATTAGTAATTAGTAATTAGTTAGACCCCTCGTACCCTTCCTGGCAGTCACACGTCAAACTCCCTCCTACAGGGGCAGAGAATAAATTAACTGTTAATTAGTAATTAGTAATTAGTTAGACCCCTCGTACCCTTCCTGGCAGTCACACGTCAAACTTCCTCCTGGAGGGGCAGAGAATCAATTAACTGTTAATTAGTAATTAGTAATTAGTTAGATCCCTCGTACCCTTCCTGGCAGTCACACGTCAAACTTCCTCCTACAGGGGCAGAGAATAAATTAACTGTTAATTAGTAATTAGTAATTAGTTAGATCCCTCGTACCCTTCCTGGCAGTCACACGTCAAACTTCCTCCTAGAGGGGAAGAGATAGTCACCCCTCATTAAACACTATTAACTGTATAATGTGTATATCATACTGTACATAACAAGAACTGTGATTAGAAGTGCTAATTGTCAAGATCTGTACCAGTAAGAAGTGTTAATTGTTAAGATCTGTACCAGTAAGAAGTGTTAATTGTTAAGATCTGTACCAGTTAGAAGTGTTAATTGTTAAGATCTGTACCAGTAAGAAGTGTTAATTGTAATTAATTAGTAATTAGTAATTAGTGTTAATTGTTAAGATCTGTACCAGTAAGAAGTGTTAATTGTTAAGATCTGTACCAGTAAGAAGTGTTAATTGTTCAGATCTGTACCAGTAAGAAGTGTTAATTGTTAAGATCTGTACCAGTAAGAATTGTTAATTGTTAAGATCTGTACCAGTAAGAAGTGTTAATTGTTAAGATCTGTACCAGTAAGAAGTGTTAATTGTTAAGATATGTACCAGTAAGAAGTGTTAATTGTTAAGATATGTACCAGTAAGAAGTGTTAATTGTTAAGATCTGTACCAGTAAGAAGTGTTAATTGTTAAGATCTGTACCAGTAAGAAGTGTTAATTGTTAAGATCTGTACCAGTAAGAAGTGTTAATTGTTAAGATATGTACCAGTAAGAAGTGTTAATTGTTAAGATCTGTACCAGTAAGAAGTGTTAATTGTTAAGATCTGTACCAGTAAGAAGTGTTAATTGTTAAGATATGTACCAGTAAGAAGTGTTAATTGTTAAGATATGTACCAGTAAGAAGTGTTAATTGTTAAGATCTGTACCAGTAAGAAGTGTTAATTGTTAAGATATGTACCAGTAAGAAGTGTTAATTGTTAAGATCTGTACCAGTAAGAATTGTTAATTGTTAAGATCTGTACCAGTAAGAATTGTTAATTGTTAAGATCTGTACCAGTAAGAAGTGTTAATTGTTAAGATATGTACCAGTAAGAATTGTTAATTGTTAAGATCTGTACCAGTAAGAAGTGTTAATTGTTAAGATATGTACCAGTAAGAAGTGTTAATTGTTAAGATATGTACCAGTAAGAAGTGTTAATTGTTAAGATCTGTACCAGTAAGAAGTGTTAATTGTTAAGATCGGTACCAGTAATAAGTGCTGATTGTTAAGATCTGTACCAGTAATAAGTGCTAATTGTAATTAATTAGTAATTAGTAATTAGTGTTAATTGTTAAGATCTGTACCAGTAAGAGGGTCGTAGTCGCACGTTCCGAAGGAGTTTCCAGAAACAGGAAGAGGACAGGGACAGATCTGACAACTCTGCCCATCAGTTGGGTCACCATAGTAACCATCCCTACAGACCTCACACTGATCACCCTCAGTGTTATCTCTACAGTCGGAGCAGACACCAGTTTCCAGACTGCAGGTGTTACTGTGACCGTTACAATCACACGCTACACATTCCCCTAGTGGGTAGCCTTCTGACTCTACTCTGTAGTAACCTTCTGTACAAGCCTCGCACGAGGTACCTAGTGATAGAGAGGGGTTAGAAGAACCTAGTGAGAGGGGTTAGAATAACCTAGTGAGAGGGGTTAGAAGAACCTAGTGAGAGGGGTTAGAAGAACCTAGTGAGAGGGGTTGGAAGAACCTAGTGAGAGGGGTTAGAAGAACCTAGTGAGAGGGGTTGGAAGAACCTAGTGATAGAGAGGGGTTAGAAGAACCTAGTGAGAGGGGTTAGAAGAACCTAGTGAGAGGGGTTAGAAGAACCTAGTGAGAGGGGTTAGAAGAACCTAGTGAGAGGGGTTGGAAGAACCTGGTGAGAGGGGTTAGAAGAACCTAGTGAGAGGGGTTAGAAGAACCTAGTGAGAGGGGTTGGAAGAACCTAGTGAGAGGGGTTGGAAGAACCTAGTGAGAGGGGTTAGAAGAACCTAGTGAGAGGGGTTAGAAGAACCTAGTGAGAGGGGTTAGAAGAACCTAGTGAGAGGGGTTGGAAGAATCTAGTGAGAGGGGTTAGAAGAACCTAGTGAGAGGGGTTAGAAGAACCTAGTGAGATGGGTTGGAAGAACCTAGTGAGAGGGGTTAGAAGAACCTAGTGAGAGGGGTTGGAAGAACCTAGTGATAGAGAGGGGTTAGAAGAACCTAGTGAGAGGGGTTAGAAGAACCTAGTGAGAGGGGTTAGAAGAACCTAGTGAGAGGGGTTAGAAGAACCTAGTGAGAGGGGTTGGAAGAACCTAGTGAGAGGGGTTGGAAGAACCTAGTGAGAGGGGTTAGAAGAACCTAGTGAGAGGGGTTAGAAGAACCTAGTGAGAGGGGTTGGAAGAATCTAGTGAGAGGGGTTAGAAGAACCTAGTGAGAGGGGTTAGAAGAACCTAGTGAGAGGGGTTGGAAGAACCTAGTGAGAGGGGTTAGAAGAACCTAGTGAGAGGGGTTGGAAGAACCTAGTGATAGAGAGGGGTTAGAAGAACCTAGTGAGAGGGGTTAGAAGAACCTAGTGAGAGGGGTTAGAAGAACCTAGTGAGAGGGGTTAGAAGAACCTAGTGAGAGGGGTTGGAAGAACCTGGTGAGAGGGGTTAGAAGAACCTAGTGAGAGGGGTTAGAAGAACCTAGTGAGAGGGGTTGGAAGAACCTAGTGAGAGGGGTTGGAAGAACCTAGTGAGAGGGGTTAGAAGAATCTAGTGAGAGGGGTTAGAAGAACCTAGTGAGAGGGGTTAGAAGAACCTAGTGAGAGGGGTTGGAAGAACCTAGTGAGAGGGGTTAGAAGAACCTAGTGAGAGGGGTTGGAAGAACCTAGTGATAGAGAGGGGTTAGAAGAACCTAGTGAGAGGGGTTAGAAGAACCTAGTGAGAGGGGTTAGAAGAACCTAGTGAGAGGGGTTAGAAGAACCTAGTGAGAGGGGTTAGAAGAACCTGGTGAGAGGGGTTAGAAGAACCTAGTGAGAGGGGTTGGAAGAACCTAGTGAGAGGGGTTGGAAGAACCTAGTGAGAGGGGTTAGAAGAACCTAGTGAGAGGGGTTAGAAGAACCTAGTGAGAGGGGTTAGAAGAACCTAGTGAGAGGGGTTGGAAGAATCTAGTGAGAGGGGTTAGAAGAACCTAGTGAGAGGGGTTAGAAGAACCTAGTGAGAGGGGTTGGAAGAACCTAGTGAGAGGGGTTAGAAGAACCTAGTGAGAGGGGTTGGAAGAACCTAGTGATAGAGAGGGGTTAGAAGAACCTAGTGAGAGGGGTTAGAAGAACCTAGTGAGAGGGGTTAGAAGAACCTAGTGAGAGGGGTTAGAAGAACCTAGTGAGAGGGGTTGGAAGAACCTAGTGAGAGGGGTTGGAAGAACCTAGTGAGAGGGGTTAGAAGAACCTAGTGAGAGGGGTTAGAAGAACCTAGTGAGAGGGGTTGGAAGAATCTAGTGAGAGGGGTTAGAAGAACCTAGTGAGAGGGGTTAGAAGAACCTAGTGAGAGGGGTTGGAAGAACCTAGTGAGAGGGGTTAGAAGAACCTAGTGAGAGGGGTTGGAAGAACCTAGTGATAGAGAGGGGTTAGAAGAACCTAGTGAGAGGGGTTAGAAGAACCTAGTGAGAGGGGTTAGAAGAACCTAGTGAGAGGGGTTAGAAGAACCTAGTGAGAGGGGTTGGAAGAACCTGGTGAGAGGGGTTAGAAGAACCTAGTGAGAGGGGTTAGAAGAACCTAGTGAGAGGGGTTGGAAGAACCTAGTGAGAGGGGTTAGAAGAACCTAGTGAGAGGGGTTGGAAGAACCTAGTGATAGAGAGGGGTTAGAAGAACCTAGTGAGAGGGGTTAGAAGAACCTAGTGAGAGGGGTTAGAAGAACCTAGTGAGAGGGGTTGGAAGAACCTAGTGAGAGGGGTTGGAAGAACCTAGTGAGAGGGGTTAGAAGAATCTAGTGAGAGGGGTTAGAAGAACCTAGTGAGAGGGGTTAGAAGAACCTAGTGAGAGGGGTTGGAAGAACCTAGTGAGAGGGGTTAGAAGAACCTAGTGAGAGGGGTTGGAAGAACCTAGTGATAGAGAGGGGTTAGAAGAACCTAGTGAGAGGGGTTAGAAGAACCTAGTGAGAGGGGTTAGAAGAACCTAGTGAGAGGGGTTAGAAGAACCTAGTGAGAGGGGTTAGAAGAACCTGGTGAGAGGGGTTAGAAGAACCTAGTGAGAGGGGTTGGAAGAACCTAGTGAGAGGGGTTGGAAGAACCTAGTGAGAGGGGTTAGAAGAACCTAGTGAGAGGGGTTAGAAGAACCTAGCAACTATTTACCTGTGTAACCCTCAGGACAGAAGCACTGTTCGATATGAGAGACACGAGCTAATCCGTTGTTAGAAGGAAAGCCTGAGTCCAGAGAAATGGACATCAGACGGTAAGTGGCTAGATCATCTGTCAGGTCCCCTTTTAGACGAATACTCCTGGGAATTTTATATTATATAATATTATCGTCTTAGTGTTCTTATTGTTAGTGTTATTGAGGGGTTGTTAAATAAGAAGTTTCTAGTCAGCTACACACAGCTACTTAGTCAGCGTGTAAACTGTAAAGCTTATAGGATTGATAAGTAGTGCACGTGACATGGTGACGGTTCTAACAGACGATCAGAGCAACACACACTACAGGGGACATCAGGTTCCTACACTACAGGGGTGTAGGAATGACACACTCAATGGAGTAGAGTTTCAGCTAATCTAATTGAACACCGGATAAGTTGAAAAGTTGAAATATCATCTCTGATAATGGGATCATCAGTGTACTGGGATCTTGTGGAGCTGGTATCCGATACCATGTTATCCGATACCATGTATAGAAAATCTATTTTTACAGCTTTATGAACTGATTAATTGTGAAAAGCAACATTACGAAGAGTAAAACACTAACTTGACATCTACTAGCGTTCTCATGATCTCCTCAATAGTAACTAGTAGTGTAACTATGGTAACTAGTGTCTAGTAGTGTAACTATGGTAACTAGAAGAGTAAAACACTAACTTGACATCTACTAGCGTTCTCATGATCTCCTCAATAGTAACTAGTAGTGTAACTATGGTAACTAGTAGTGTAACTATGGTAACTAGAAGAGTAAAACACTAACTTGACATCTACTAGCGTTCTCATGATCTCCTCAATAGTAACTAGTAGTGTAACTATGGTAACTAGTACAGTGTAACTATGGTAACTAGTAGTGTAACTATGGTAACTAGAAGTGTAACTATGGTAACTAGAAGAGTAAAACACTAACTTGACATCTACTAGCGTTCTCATGATCTCCTCAATAGTAACTAGTAGTGTAACTATGGTAACTAGTACAGTGTAACTATGGTAACTAGAAGAGTAAAACACTAACTTGACATCTACTAGCGTTCTCATGATCTCCTCAATAGTGGCCTCCCTGCCCTCCTCGTCAACTGAGAACCAGTGTCCTGTGTCCAATATCAGTGTGTACGGAGTGTAGCTGTCAGGCTCTGGTAGTGCCAGCTCCCTGAGAAATATAAGTTACTTACAACTGTGAATATGATTATGAATATGAATACATAATACATATAAATATAAATATAATTTAAAAGTGTCAGTAGAAAGCACCCACGTATAAATTCCGGTCTCTGCCCCCAGTACGTCCACTCTAGGAGCTCTGGTAGCTGCCCCTCTCCGGTTAGGGAAATATCCCAGGTTAAACTTGAACTGTCCTCCATACGAGTACATCAGATCACCTGAAATACAGTTTAATTGTTATATAGCTTAAATAAATACAGTTTAATTGTTATATAGCTTAAATAAATACAGTTTAATTGTTATATAGCTTAAATAAATACAGTTTAATTGTTATATAGCTTTAATAAATACAGTTTAATTGTTATATAGCTTAAATAAATACAGTTTAATTGTTATATAGCTTAAATAAATACAGTTTAATTGTAATATAGCTTAAATAAATATCAGTGTACCAATGATGGTGAAAATGTTTAACTTTTTGTGATATTTTGCATTGAAACATGTATTTTATTTGGATAAACTACTGAATTAACCTTTGTAAGGAGCAGGAGCGAGCCAGACAAAGTTAGAGGTCCTCAACTGGATAGAGATGGAGCTGCTCAGTACAACTAGCTCGTATAGTCCGGGATAGGTGGTACTCTGGTGCAAGTTAGTTAATTTAAACAAGTAGTTACTACACTAGTAACCTAGTAACTACACTAGTAACCTAGTAACTACACTAGTAACCTAGTAACTACACTAGTAACCTAGTAACTACACTAGATGGAGCTGCTCAGTACAACTAGCTCGTATAGTCCGGGATAGGTGGTACTCTGGTGCAAGTTAGTTAGTAACTACACTAGTAACCTAGTAACTACACTAGTAACCTGGTAACTACACTAGTAACCTAGTAACTACACTAGTAACCTAGTAACTACACTAGTAACCTAGTAACTACACTAGTAACCTAGTAACTACACTAGATGGAGCTGCTCAGTACAACTAGCTCGTACAGTCCGGGATAGGTGGTACTCTGGTGCAAGTTAGTTAATTTAAACAAGTAGTAACTAGTAGTAGTAGTAAATCTTTCAAAGTACGAAATATCTCTTTAAAAGAGCATCCTAGGCACCTTATAGATATCAAAACGCATAAAAAAGAAAACAAAAAACATCAACCATCTTCTAACTTCTTCCACTCCTCCCTATCTAAAGCTAAAAATCTAAGGTCTTCGAAATCAGTCAAATTCTTAAGTCTAATATCAAGATTTAGTAACTACAAAGTTAATTAGAAAGTGATTCACTAAAGTGAAATGTATGATAATATAGGATTATTAAACATATTTCGGAGGTGTTTATAAAACTCACCTCCTGAACGAGCGGTCGGAGAGAATTTCCACTGGTAGGTTTCTCATCACTACTGTCTATTATCAGCCACCCCTGTGTGTCTGCTTCCTCGAACTCTCTACCGATCTGAAATTAGTTGAGATGTGAGTTATGAAAGTGAAAGTGAAAGAGAAAGTGAAAGCCACCCCTGTGTGTCTGCTTCCTCGACATCTCTACGGATCTGACATTAATTGAGATGTGTCATGTGAGTTATGACAATTTGGGTATGTTCACTACAATACATTTTCTCTTTTCATTCCATCTATGTAGGGTGAAAGTGAAAAATAAGTGAAAGTATAGCAGTACCTTGTAGAATGCCATGTCAGCAATAGTACAGTTATCAGTGTAGTAACTACACTAGTAACCTAGTAACTACATTAGTAACCTAGTAACTACACTAGTAACCTAGTAACTACAATAAAATAGCAGTACCTTGTAGAATGCCATGTCAGCAATAGTACAGTTATCAGTGACTCCAAAACAGAAGCATTCCTGACATCCCTCAGTTCGGTCCTCTTGTAAGTTGTAGTGTCCGTACTCGCATTCGTCGCACAGCAACCCGGTCACAGATTCCTGAATGCGAGCTGTGTCAACCAACTTCAAAACAGATTTAAGTTATAGTTTTATACGCTGTCATAACCTTCATATATATGTAATTAAACCGAAAAGGAATTCAGTGAAAGAGAAATTAAAATAGTGAGTGAATGTACTCACTTCACATGAAAATAGTCCAGTTACATAGTTTCAAATAAAACCGGCACTGCTAAAGTGAAAGTGAAGGTGAAAGTGAAAGTGAAAGTACTCACCTTACAAGGGCACTGTCCAGTTTCATGATTACAGATAGTTCCAATACTGATAAAGTGAAAGTGAAAGTGAAAGTGAAAGTGAAAGTACTCATCTTACAAGGGCACTGTCCAGTTTCATGATTACAGATAGTCCCAATACTGATAAAGTGAAAGTGAAAGTGAAAGTGAAAGTGAAAGTGAAAGTGAAAGTGAAAGTACTCACCTTACAAGGGCACTGTCCAGTTTCATGATCACAGATAGTTCCAATACTTCCTGCCTCGTTGCATCCACAGGGCTGACAGGTTGGGAAATTGGTTCTGCCTTCAACACACCTCTCACACTTGATACCTGAAAAGAGGGGTATTACATGAGGGGTATTACATGAGGGGTATTGGTGTTACGAGAGGGGTATTGTATTCTAATCACATAATTTATATGCTTTACTCCATTTTTATGTAAAAAGAAGCACTGTCTCACCTGTAATTGTATCGTTCCTACAGAAGCACTGTCCTATCTCGTCACAACTGGCGTCGGTAGACCCCTCCAAGTTACATTCACAATCCTGGGGATAAACATATTATTAGTATTACAGATAGTTACCAGAAACCTAGTTACTAGTAACCTAGTGACCAGTTACCGTTAACGAATAAAAGATGACAATCAGTTATCACAGTGCAGGGGTATAAAACACATGACACAAATTATTACACATTATTACACATTATTACACATTATTACACATTATTATACATTATTACACATTATTACACATTATTACACATTATTACACATTATTACACATTATTACACATTATTACACATTATTACACATTATTACACAGCTAAATTCAGCTATATAAGAGCCCCATGAACTAATATAAGCACTAAAACTGCACCCAGTTACTATGGTAACTTTATAGTAACTACGGTAACTGAATAAAACTGCACCCACCCTGCATCCCAGCACATCGTCGTAGTCGAAAGAGTCAGCGTCGCACTGGTCGCATCGCTCACCAATAACATTGGGGGCACAGTCACACTCTCCAGTCACTTCATTACACACACTGGAGAAACCGCTCCCTATCATAGTACAGCGCGCTATCGGGCATTCTGGGGGGGATAGATAGATTAATTAATAGTTACTACACTAGTAACCTAGCAACTACACTAGTAACCTAGCAACTACACTATCATCGTACAGCGCGCTATCGGGCATTCTGGGGGGGATAGATAGATTAATTAATAGTTACTATATTTACTAAATAGTAACTATTTTAACTAAATAGTAACTATGTTAACTAAATAGTAACTAAGGGAAATAAATAGTAACTCACCCTGACAGTCTGGGAAGTTGAAGAATCCTGAAGCACATCTATCACAGTCCTGTCCAATAATATTAGGTTTGCAAGTACATTGTCCTCCGTATACGTCACACACTTCACTCAGGGATCCTGCAAAGGAATCATAACTATGGTAACTATGGTAACCAGGCTTCCCTCTGAGTCCATAGGTGCAGATTTCGTTTTGAGGTGAACTTTTAAGTTCCCGAGAAATTTTCTTAAGTTTCCTTTTTTTTTTCCTCCTCGGGCACATTCGTAACCTACGGGCCAGGTAAACCTAAACTACATATTGACCGTTATGTACGTCGGTATCTGTTGAGGAGCCAAATCATCTGAAAAGCCCTTAACCTATATTTTGCTCAGGCACGTAGCTAGGATTTTTCTTTGGGGGGGGGGGGGGGCTGTCGGCGAGCGACGCGAAGCTGCAAGCTGTGGCAGGGGTCTGGGGGCGCGGCCCCCAGCGGGGTCCAGGTAAGGGGCGGACCACATTGGCGGGGGCGCGGCCCCCCGGAAAAATTTTGCGAAATAGGGTGTTTTAGGCTAAATTGAAAGTTTAATGAATTTAAAAAAATGTATGGTTTGGAATAATCATTGCCTACAATCCTGACCTGAGTAATTTACCCCTTTGAGACTTTATTTTGGGTTGAAAATTAAGTTTATCGAGAGGAAGTGAAAAATCTCTGGTTCAAATTTGGATTTGAAGCCATGTTTAATTTTTTCTGTTGAGGTCAATTTTTTGCGCAGAAAGCGTTCGATTTTAGGGGAAAAAATTTATGTTTGCTTTTAATTTTTATGGTGCCGGCGGCACCTGAAATCGACGAAATCTGCAGGGGTGTCCCTCTCAACCTCAGGACTACGGACACAAGTAGTCCGTTATAAAAACCCAATAGCTATTAATCTATTATCAGGAAACCAGTAACTAGTAACCAGTAACCAGTAACCAGTAATCTAGTAACCAGTAACCTAGTAACCTAGTAACCTAGTAACCAGTAACCAGTAATCTAGTAACCAGTAACCAGTAATCTAGTAACCAGTAACCAGTAACTATTATCAGGAAACCAGTGACATAGTAACCAGTAACATAGTAACCAGTAGCTATTATCAGGAAACCAGTAACCGAGTAACCAGTAATCTAGTAACCAGTAACCAGTAACTGTTGTCAGGAAACCAGTAACCGAGTAACCAGTAATCTAGTAACCAGTAACCAGTAATCTAGTAACCAGTAACCAGTAACTATTATCAGGAAACCAGTGACATAGTAACCAGTAACATAGTAACCAGTAGCTATTATCAGGAAACCAGTAACCGAGTAACCAGTAATCTAGTAACCAGTAACCAGTAACTGTTGTCAGGAAACCAGTAACCGAGTAACCCGTAATCTAGTAACCAGTAACCGAGTAACCGAGTAACCAGTAATCTAGTAACCCGTAACCTAGTAACCTAGTAACCAGTATCCAGTAACCAGTAACCAACAACCAGTAACGAGTAACCAGTAACTGTTGTCAGGAAACCAGTAACCGAGTAACCAGTTATCTACTAACCAGTAACCGAGTAACCAGTAATCTAGTAACCAGTAACCTAGTAACCTAGTAACCAGTAACCAGTATCCAGTAACCAGTAACCTAGTAACCAGTAACCTAGTAACCAGTAACCAGTAACCAGTAACCAGTAACCAGTAACCAGTAACTGTTATCAGGAAACCAGTAACCAGTAACCAGTAACTGAGTAACCAGTAACCTAGTAACCAGTAACCAGTAACCTAGTAACCAGTCACCAGTAACCAGTAACTGTTATCAGGAAACCAGTAACCAGGTAACCTAGTAACCAGTATCTAGTAACCAGTAATCTAGTAACCAGTAACCGAGTAACCAGTAACCGAGTAATCAGTAATCTAGTAACCAGTAACCGAGTAACCAGTTATCTAGTAACCAGTAACCGAGTAACCAGTAATCTAGTAACCAGTAACCTAGTAACCTAGTAACCAGTAACCAGTAACCAGTATCCAAGTAACTAGTAACCAGTAACCAGTAACCAGTAACTGTTATCAGGAAACCAGTAACCAGTAACTGAGTAACCAGTAACCAGTAACCAGTAACCAGTAACCAGTAACCTAGTAACCAGTAACCAGTAACCAGTAACCAGTAACCAGTAACCAGTAACCAGTAACCAGTAACCAGTAACCAGTAACCTAGTAACCAGTAACCTAGCAACACTTACCCTCGGGATTACAACCACACTCAGGTAGCCCATCATAGAACTCAGCAGCTATAGTCAGATATCCTGTCCTGCAGAACTCCTCCTCACTTTCCACAGTACAGTTGTTAGTAAACTCGTCAGTACGTACGAGGGGCAGGGGCTGCACCAACGCAGAGGAGGATATTGTGGTCACTGTAGTCGCTACTATCTCGTTCTGGGGATTTTACCAAAATATAATATGTGAATATTTATAGATAAGAGTGCCAGTACAGCTTCAGTCAACCGACTATCCTGAGGAGCAAATGTCTTGCTTGACAAGATATTAGAGGGATGTTTGATATTCACACAGTATTAATATGAGACCTAATTACACACTACACACACATTGGCAAGCAAGGCTGTCTAATAAGCTAGGTGTTTGGTTTCTGATGTGTCAACAGTGATTTGGTGTCTAAATCTACACCATGATGGAGAGGTTAAGGTACAGGGATTAAGGAGGGAGGGAGGGAGGGAGGGAGGGAGGGAGGGAGGGAGGGAGGGAGGGAGGGAGGGAGGGAGGGAGGGAGGGAGGGAGGGAGAGGGAGGGAGGGAGGGGCTGAATAAAGCTTAGATAAACTCACCAATAAAATACACTTCCCGATAGGTAGATCCTTCAATGTCATGTAAACGTATCTCGGTTCAAATCTGAGGGGGATATTGTCAAACTATTTACTTTATTTCCTGGTGTTAAATTTGTTTAAAAACGTACAGCTATTGATAGAAACACCAAAAGATTGATATGTAATGTGTTTTAGTGTTTACCTGAGGAAAGGTGTTGTATAAAGATCAGACTCCTCGTCCATATTCATAACAAGTGTTCTACACACACTGTACCCGTTACACGGGGAGAACGTTATTACTCCTGAAATAAGAAACTCAAGTTAGTAACTACACACACTGTACCCGTTACACGGGGAGAACGTTATTACTCCTGAAATAAGAAACTCAAGTTAGTAACTACATTAGTAACTGCATTAGTGACTGCATTAGTAACCACTTATCTAGTAATCAGTGACCTAATTACTTAGTAACCAGTGACCGAGTTACTTAGAGAAAAGAGTAAGCAATTAGGACAAAATATTGACAAGTTCAAGACAGTTAAGATTATATTAAAGATTACATTAAAAGCAGGTTACGAAGCAGGAGATTAAAAATGGCGGGACACTGCATCAGACATCCTAAGCTACTTGCTAGTGATTTAGTCTTATGGGAACCTATGAATGGTAGAGCACAGCAGCGCACTGCGCAAGGCCGACCAAGACAAAGCTACTTGTCTATGTTACTGAAGGAAGTTGGGACAAACTCTAAAGAGGAACTGCGAACCCTGATGCGGGACAGGAATATATGGAGGGAGTTATCTGGCGTAGATCGGACTTAGCTCCGACATAGTAGTAGTAGTAGTAGTATTACAGTAAGATTACAGTAAATATTACAGTAAATATTACAGTAAAGATTACAGTAAAGATTACAGTAAAGATTACAGTAAAGATTACAGTAAATATAACAGTAAATATTACAGTAAAGATTACAGTAAAGATTACAGTAAAGATTACAGTAACTACTAGTAACCTAGTAAAGTAGTTTTACCTTGTCCGACCTCCTCTTCCTCACTGCTGTAAGACACGGAAACAGAGAAGTCCTGCAGCCCCGTGTAGAAGTACTCCAGAACCATACGGTAAGTAGTAGGGTTGTTAACCAAGTTCACTCTCACTTCGTAGTTAACCTGGGGTAGGAGTCATTCACTACTAGTAACTGCTATTTACCATTTAACCACTGGTAACCACTGGTAACCACTGGTCACCACTAGTAACCATTAGTAACCACTAGTAACCACTAGAAGTCACTAGTAACCATTAGTAACTACTATTTGCTAGAAACCACTATTCACTACTAGTAAAGTAAATATATCTCGCGTTCCACTGTCTTCTAGAAGCAACCAATATTAAGAAGTCTTGACACCCCCCCCCCCCCCCCCCCCCCCCCCCCCCCCCCCCCCCCCCCCCCCCCCCCCCCCCCCCCCCCCCCCCCCCCCCCCCCCCCCCCCCCCCCCCTATTAAGAAGTCCAGACTAACGTCACTTGATCCACATATCTGTACAAGCTCGTCGTAGTTGGTTCTGGGCTCAATATGGTCGTCAGTTATCGGACCTACTTGGTTCCTGTCATCATCAACTAGATACCTGGGTAATGTTGGCAATTAGAAGTGTGGTGTTATTTCCATATAAGGAGTGTCACGTGGTGTTATTTCCATATAAGGAGTGTCACGTGGTGTTATTTCCATATAAGGAGTGCAACGGGTGCTATTTCCATATAATGAGTGACATGTGATCTCACTAAAAGAACGTACCCCTTGGTAGCAGGTCTGAGAGTGCGAGGATACGCTACAGGGAAAGTGTTCACAGTGCAAACTCCATCTACTCCTGTCATGCAAATGTATTGGGGTTTTAGCGCGTAGATCAGATCATCTGTGTTAACTACCAGGTACATCTTACCCTGCAGGATAAAGAGGGGTTATTAGTAACCTAGTAACTACATTAGTAACTTAGTAACTACCTTAGTAACCTAGTAACTACACTAGTAACCTAGTAACTACACTAGTAACCTAGTAACTACACTAGTAACTTAGTAACTACACTAGTAACCTAGTAACTACACTAGTATCCTATTAACTACACTAGTTACCTAGTAACTACACTAGTAACTACACTAGTTACCTAGTAACTACACTAGTATCCTAGTAACTACACTAGTAACTACACTAGTAACCTAGTAACTACACTAGTAACCTAGTAACTACACTAGTAACTACACTAGTAACCTAGCAACTACACTAGTAACCTAGCAACTACACTAGTAACCTAGTAACGACACTTGTAACCTAGTAACTACACTAGTAACCTAGTAACTACACTAGTAACCTAGTAACTACACTAGTAACCTAGTAACTGCACTACTAATATAATAACTCTACCTCTATAGGGTTTGGAATATCCTCATTAAACTTGACACTAAGTTCTCCAGGAACACTGTTGTAAATAAGGGGCTGCCCGTGCTCATCTCGTACTATAGCTCTGCACATCTGCAGCTGAAGTAACAAAGTAGTTAGTGACCTGTATTAGTGACCTGTATTAGTGACCTGTATTAGTGACCTGTATTAGTGACCTGTATTAGTGACCTGTATTAGTGACCTGTATTAGTGACCTGTATTAGTAACCTGTATTAGTGACCTGTATTAGTAACCTGTATTAGTGACCTGTATTAGTGACCTGTATTAATAGTGACCTGTATTAATAGTGACCTGTATTAGTGACCTGTATTAGTGAATAGTGACCTGTATAAGTGACCTGTATTAATAGTGACCTGTATTAGTGACCTGTGTTAGTGACCTGTATTAGTGACCTGTATTAGTGACCTGTATTAATAGTGACCTGTATTAATAGTGACCTGTATTAATAGTGACCTGTATTAATAGTGACCTGTATTAATAGTGACCTGTATTAGTGACCTGTATTAGTGAATAGTGACCTGTATAAGTGACCTGTATTAATAGTGACCTGTATTAGTGACCTGTATTAGTGACCTGTATTAGTGACCTGTATTAGTGACCTGTATTAGTGACCTGTATTAGTGACCTGTATTAGTGACCTGTATTAGTGACCTGTATTAGTTACCTGTATTAGTGAATAGTGACCTGTATTAGTGAATAGTGACCTGTATTAGCGAATAGTGACCTGTATTAGTGACCTGTATTAGTGAACTGTATTAGTGACATGTATTAGTGACCTGTATTAGTGAATAGTGACCTGTATTAGTGAATAGTGACCTGTATTAGCGAATAGTGACCTGTGTTAGTGACCTGTATTAGTGACCTGTGTTAGTGACCTGTATTAGTGACCTGTGTTAGTGATCTGTATTAGTGACCTGTATTAGTGACCTGTGTTAGTGACCTGTATTAGTGAATAGTGGCCTGTATTAGTGACCTGTATTAGTGACCTGTGTTAGTGTCCTGTATTAGTGACCTGTGTTAGTGACCTGTATTAGTGACCTGTATTAGTGACCTGTGTTAGTGACCTGTGTTAGTGACCTGTATTAGTGACCTGTATTAGTGAATAGTGACCTGTATTAGTGAATAGTGACCTGTGTTAGTGACCTGTATTAGTGAGTAGTGACCTGTGTTAGTGACCTGTATTAGTGACCTGTGTTAGTGACCTGTATTAGTGACCTGTATTAGTGACCTGTGTTAGTGACCTGTGTTAGTGACCTGTATTAGTGACCTGTATTAGTGACCTGTATTAGTGACCTGTATTAGTGACCTGTATTAGTGACCTGTATTAGTGACCTGTATTAGTGACCTGTATTAGTGACCTGTGTTAGTGACATGTATTAGTGACCTGTATTAGTGAATAGTGACCTGTATTAGTGAATAGTGACCTGTGTTAGTGACCTGTATTAGTGACCTGTAGTGAATAGTGACCTGTATTAGTGACCTGTATTAGTGACCTGTATTAGTGACCTGTATTAGTGACCTGTATTAGTGACCTGTATTAGTGACCTGTATTAGTGACATGTATTAGTGACCTGTATTAGTGAATAGTGACCTGTATTAGTAAATAGTGACCTGTGTTAGTGACCTGTATTAGTGACCTGTATTAGTGAATAGTGACCTGTATTAGTGAATAGTGACCTGTGTTAGTGACCTGTATTAGTGACCTGTATTAGTGAATAGTGACCTGTATTAGTAAATAGTGACCTGTGTTAGTGACCTGTATTAGTGACCTGTATTAGTGAATAGTGACCTGTATTAGTGAATAGTGACCTGTATTAGTGAATAGTGACCTGTGTTAGTGACCTGTATTAGTGACCTGTATTAGTGAATAGTGACCTGTATTAGTAAATAGTGACCTGTGTTAGTGACCTGTATTAGTGACCTGTATTAGTGAATAGTGACCTGTATTAGTAAATAGTGACCTGTATTAGTGACCTGTATTAGTGACCTGTATTAGTGAATAGTGACATGTATTAGTGAATAGTGACCTGTGTTAGTGACCTGTATTAGTGACCTGTATTAGTGACCTGTATTAGTGACCTGTATTAGTGAATAGTGACATGTATTAGTGAATAGTGACCTGTATTAGTGACTTGTATTAGTGACCTGTATTAGTGACCTGTATTAGTGACCTGTATTAGTGAATAGTGACCTGTATTAGTGAATAGTGACCTGTATTAGTGACCTGTATTAGTGACCTGTATTAGTGAATAGTGACATGTATTAGTGACATGTGTTAGAGATCTGTTAATAACTAAATTTAGTAATTATATTACCTTACAAGACATATTTATATGGATCATAATTAGCGGGGATCGTAATTATGGGGAACGAAAATATGGGGATTTTTTTTCAGAAATTCAGTTATTCAGTACGAAATTTTAGAAATTCAGTACGAAAATATGGGGATTTTTTCCCATTTTTTCCAAAAATCCCCGAATTTCGTACCATATAAATATGTCTCGTAAGGTAATTTATATAAGATAATTGAATAATTAAATAACTAACAAGACGTTACCTCGTTACAGTCATGTAGCGTTACAGTAATAATTACCTCGTTACAGTCATGTAGCGTGATGTATCCAGTTTTCTCCACATCCCCATCAGTAATAGTAAGAGTCATATCATCAATTGTACTGCTGTTGTAGAGGAAGTCCAGTATAATAGAGTGAGCTCCCGCGTCCTCCACATTGAACGTAGTTTCCTCTCCGGACAGATCTACGGGGTTGGGCCCTGAGCTCGGAGTAGGGCATCACAATCTACATGCAACAGTTACATAGCAACAGTTACATAGCAACAGTTATATAGCGACAGCTACATAGCAACGGTTATATAGTAACAGCTACATAGCAACAGTTACATAACAACAGCTACATAGCAACGGTTATATAGCAACAGCTACATAGCAACAGTTACATAGCAACGGTTATATAGCAACAGCTACATAGCAACGGTTATATAGTAACAGCTACATAGCAACAGCTACATAGCAACGGTTATATAGCGACAGCTACATAGCAACGGTTATATAGCAACAGCCAAATAGCAACGGTTATATAGCAACAGCTACATAGCAACAGCTACATAGCAACGGTTATATAGCAACAGCCAAATAGCAACGGTTATATAGCAACAGCTTCGTAGCAACAGCTACATAGCAACAGCTTCGTAGCAACAGCTTCATAGAAACAGCTACATAGCAACAGCTACATAGTAACATAGCAACAGCTACATAGCGACAGCTACATAGTGCATTGCAACAGCTAGATAATTTAACATCGAAGAATATTTTCCGTCAAAATCAAAAAGTTCGTGACGAAACCATTTCAGACCAATTGAGGAACGCTAATAAAGTTAGTAGAAATGATGAAGATATATCAAGACGATATTAAATGTCAGAAATTAAAATAAGGACTGGAGATCCTACTCAAAATACAATTTTCTGTTGATTTGTCAAAAACAAAATTACATTTAAATGTATTGTATGATCGAAAAAGGCAAAAAACAAAAAATTCTGAAGAAAGTTTCCGATCTTCCGTTTTTCCGACTTTTTTCGATGTGAAGATATACATTGCTGCTAGATTTCAGCTTTAATACTGCTAGATTTCAGCTTTGATACTGCTAGATTTCAGCTTTAATACCCATAGATTTCAGCTTTAATACTGCTAGATTTCAGCTTTAATACTGCTAGATTTCAGCTATAATACTGCTAGATTTCAGCTTTAATACTGCTAGATTTCAGCTTTAATACTGCTAGATTTCAGCTTTAATTCTGCTAGAATTAAAATTAAGAAATTATATGATAACATGCTTCTTAGTACTTACACAGTTACACGGATAACCTTTAAATAAACAGGTAGTAGGTTGGAGTAGGTTGGACAACTAGTTAACTATATAAACGACAGGCACGTAGCCAGGATTTTATATAAGTGAGAGTACTGACCTTCAGTTTTGTGGATGTACGGTTCCAAGTTGGGCTGATGGAACTGGTTACACAGTGCCTGGTTATCTCTCGTGCAGCTCTTCAGGTCCGTGTGTGCAATGTAAGGTTCTTCAAAGTTACGAGGAGTCAACACCAACCGGTCCTGTTTGTACAGTTAGTGAGCGTGCGTTACTTAGTAACCAATATTATTCAGTTAGTGAGAGTGCGTTACTTAGTAACCAATATTTTTCAGTTAGTGAGCGTGCATTACTAAGTAACCAATATTTTTCAGTAAGTGAGCGTGCGTTACTTAGTAACCAATATTATTCAGTAAGTGAGCGTGCGTTACTAAGTAACCAATATTTTTCAGTAAGTGAGAGTGCGTTACTTAGTAACCAATATTTTTCAGTAAGTGAGCGTGCGTTACTTAGTATTAATATTATTCGGTAAGTGAGCGTGCGTTACTTAGTAACCAATAATATTCAGTAAGTGAGCGTGCGTTACTTAGTAACCAATATTATTCAGTAAGTGAGCGTGTGTTTCTTAGTAACCAATATTATTCAGTAAGTGAGCGTGCGTTTCTTAGTAACCAATATTATTCAGTAAGTGAGCGTGCGTTACTTAGTAACCAACATCATTCAGTAATTATTATTCGTATAGTATGCACTATTAACTGCTAGTAACTACTAGAAACTGATAATACCCATTAGTAACCATTAGTAACCATTAGTAACCGACTGACCAGGTTGAAAGCAGGAGCGTTGTAGGAGAAGGAGATGATCCAGTCTCCGGGAGTCAGTGTTAGAGACACGTCCTCACACACGTCCTGTATACAACGCTGCAGTGTGACGTCACATCCGTCCACACACGTGTCTAGTGTAGCCTCGTACTGCTGCACTTCTCCCGTCCTATAGTGGTTACTTAGTAACTATACTAGTAATGATATTAGTTACTAAACTAGTAACCTAGTAACTACACTAGTAACTACACTAGCAACTACACTAGTAACTACACTAGTAACTACACTAGTAACTACACTAGTAACTACACTAGTAACTACACTAGTAACTACACTAGTAACTACACTAGTAACTACACTAGTAACTACACTAGTAACTACACTAGTAACTACACTAGTAACTACACTAGTAACTAGTTAGGTAACTTACTCTTTGTTAGTAGCAATAATGGTGCCAGAGTATTTCTGGAAGTTGTCCTCCAGCTGGTAGGCGATCTTTACCTTGTACCTCGTGTAAGCTGGTATCTCAATCTCCATGTCTACTCTAGGCTGGAAGAAGTTATCTTTAAAATATCAATAAAGTTTATAATCGCTAGTCTTGCTAAACTAGTAACACTCATTTGTTAGTAAATTTCTAACATAGATAGAGTTCCTTATTTCTCTCAAATGAGAACGGTCAAAGACCTGACCATGCTAATGATTGTTTCCCATCTCTTATCACATAACCTAGTAACTACACTAGTGACTTAGTAACTACACTAGTAACCTAGTAACTACATTAGTAACCCAGCAACTACACTAGTAACCTAGTAACTACACTCGTAACCTAGGCCTAGTAACACTTACCACATTTCTGTTGAGTGTAGCGTATCCCTTTCCGGAGAACCCGTCTTTAAAGACCTCCTCGTTGAAGTCGTAGAGAGCCTGTCTTCCTCTCATATCACCGTCCTCCGCTTCCAAAGCTAGATGGTCTGGTCCCGGTATGTAGTGCTTGTGTGCTACCCTGTAGGAATTAAATTAGTAACCTAGTAATTACACTAGTAACTACAGTAGTAACATAGTAACTACAGTAGTAACCTAGTAACTACAGTAGTAACCTAGTAATTACAGTAGTAACCTAGTAACTACACTAGTAACCTAGTAATTACAGTAGTAACCTAGTAATTACAGTAGTAACCTAGTAACTACTGACTGGTCACATGATCAACAAGATAAACTCACTGGTCACATGATCAACAAGATAAACTCACTGGTCACATGATCAACAAGATAAACTCACTGGTCACATGATCAACAAGATAAACTCACTGGTCACATGATCAACAAGATAAACTCACTGGTCACATGATCAACAAGATAAACTCACTGGTCACATGATCTACAAGATAAACTCACTGGTCACATGATCTCCCATCAAGTCCAGGTTTACAGTCGCATTGTCCATCTTCTTTGTCGCAGTTGTTATTCTCAGATCCTCCTGGATTACACGCGCACTCTGCAAAGTTATTATTCTCGTGATATAATTTCTAAGAAAATATTTTAAATGTCCAAAAATTAGTAACCTAATTCCTGATTTATTTTAAATGATTTTGTACTACCGATCATTTTGTGCCATTCGATGGAGAAAACGACCGCTCATTTCATTAAATTTGATGATTTCACAGAAACTAATCAGTGTGAAGAATGAAGATAGAACAAATTACCACTAGATTGTTGCTAAATTAAGAGATTGTAATTTATGGACGTGCTTTATTGTCTCACCGCAGATAAGGTTATCCCTCGAGATTTCTTTTTAAACATTCCTTTAAAAGCTCTAGCATTGAACTTCTTTAGTAAGTTTCAAGGTATTATTATCACGACTATATAGTATATTTGACTGTAGAATGTAGATTTGTACTGACAAATGAATTAGAGCCCAGCAAGGGTCACGTCTCTCTGATGAAATTTACAAACAAATATTTATCAGATCTAACAAGGTTAGAGGGTAACCAGGTAACAGTATCTAGGTTACACACACAGTATCTAGGTAACAGTATCTAGGTTACACACACAGTATCCAGGTAACAGTATCTAGGTTACACATCATAAGTTATCAGATTTGTCATCTCCCGTTTTAGAAACAGGAGAATCAGGGACAAATCACTTTGAAGTTATTTTACAGGAAATAGGAGAACTTGTGGAGGGTAGTTTTTATGGCACTTCATTAAGATAAGCTAATTTCATCGATATTTCATGATTATTTCAGTGATAAGAAGAACAGTATGTCATTATATAGAAATACTGGCGCAGTGGCACTGTACTGGTGTGCAATAAAATAGAGAATAACTGTAACCCACCGGAGCAGCCATAGTCATTATCCACAGTGATGTTAAAAGTCTCGTCCCTGCAAACCGCACACTTGTTTCCGATAACGTTATCTTTACAGAAGCACATTCCTGACATATCTTCGCAGTTCTGCAGTTGGGAAACTGTGCCTTGTATCTCGCAATCACACGAGTCGCACGACAAACCGTTAGACTGAAATAAGGTGATTTTAGTTCAATTACTGGTTATAATTTAATATTAGTTTAATATTGGTTTATCATTCCTCAGTGTATAAGAATAATCCTTCGACGGAAAAGATTAAGAAGTGAGTATTAACGAGAGACACTGGGAAATAAAAAAGTAGTAACTAATTTATATTCAGTGTTAAGATTACTCACCACAGAGTTGTAGTAACTAGTTTATATTCAGTGTGAAGATTACTCACCACAGAGTTGTAGTGGTCAGCCCTGCACTCATCACACTGCCTCCCTCCGAAGCGCTCCTTGCAGTAACACTGTCCGTTCTCGTCCTGATTACAGCTGCCAAACTCCTTTCCTTCCACTAGCACAATGTTAGCCAGGTTGCAGTCGCAGTTCCTACACGTCTTGTCATACAGGGACTCTCTCTCGCCCCTGAAGAAGCCTTCTTTGCAGAGCTCACAGTTCAGCCCCTCAGTGTTATCCTGACAGTCCGCACACACCGCGCCGCCGCGCACTTCCCCCTCGGTATCCACACTCAACCCCTCTGCGTCTGTGTCATAGTAGCATTCTTCACTGTGTCCGTAACACTGGCACTGCTCACATTGGAAGAACTGACCTGAGAGGACGGTTGCCAAGGGAACACATTGTATCCAGGACAACACTGCTCACAGTTAGCGCCGCACGTGTTACCGTTACACTCGCACGTCACACTCTTATCATCTATTTCTGTGCAGAGCTCAGCGTGCCCGTTGCAACTACACCGCCCCGCCACTATTATCTCCCTGATGGAGTAGAAAAACCTCCTGTTCGCTGTGTCATCCTCCTCGTTGATTAGATTGTGCAGGATTTGCATCTGCTCCAAGCGCAGACGCACGTTTGTAGCCTTCATCCACTGCTGTAAACGAGGCGACTCGTTCAGGTAGAACAGTTCAGCACCAGGGCGACCTACTACCAGTGTGGTGTAAATCTGACCATTCTCCAGCGGATTTAGTTTACTGTAGTAAGAAGTGCAGATAACCTGGTCATCTGCAAGAAAATCTACTGGGAACTGGGACGCGGGGACGTTGTAGTACAACTCACAATCACTATCTGTTGGAACGTAGATCTGCAAATATGTTACATTATTACATAAATCTGTGGGGAAACGGAGAATATAAAATAACACAATTACAATTTACATAAAATAATAATATATACGGCCCCAACGTTAATGTGGCTCTTGCTATGTGTTGGTTCAGCCGAATTAATTATTATATAATCAAGTTTATTTTTCTTTTTTAGTTAGTTGTCATCCGGCCACACAATAAGCAACTTATATTGCAGCACCATTTATTAATTAGAATATCAAAATATGTCATTGTAATTTTGCATGGCTGAAATGTAACGCTTGATTTATATATATAATAATGGGGGGGGTGTCATGTCCGTCTATGTCCGCCTATGTCCTGTCCTTTTTGGATTCTATGAGACAACGGACGTGTTTTTTGGGACATTGGCGGACACGGACGGACATTGGCGGATTCGGACGGACATTGGCGGACTTGGACGGACATTGGCGGACTCGGACGGACATTGGCGGACTTGGATGGACATTGGTGGACATTAGCGGACATTAGTGGACAAACATTTTGAGGACTGAAGAGTACTGAAGAGTACTGAGGAGGATGGCTGAGAAGGATGGCTGAGGAGGATGGCTGAGGAGGATGACTGAGGAGGATGACTGAGGAGGATGACTGAGGAGGATGACTGAGGGAGGAGAAGGATCAGGAAGACCCAGGAGGAGGAGGACCCAGAAGGAGGACCTAGGAGGAGGAGGAGAACTGAGGAGGATGACTCAGGAGGAGGAGGACTCAGGAGGAGGACTGAGGAGGACTGAGGAGGACTGAGAAGGAGGAGGACTCAGGAGGATGGCTGAGGAGGATGACTGAGAGGGAGGAGGAGGAGGAAGAGGAGGAAGAGGACTGAGGAGGAGGAGGAGAAGGAGGACCCAGGAGGAGGAGGACCCAGGAGGAGGAGGACCCAGGAGGATGACCCAGGAAAAGGCCCCAGGAGGAGGAGGAGGACTGGGGAGGAGGAGAACTGTTGAGGACTGATGAGGAGGACTGAGGAGGGGAGGAGGAAGAGGACTGGGGAGGATCAGGAAGACCCAGGAGGAGGAGGAGGAATCAGGAGGAGGAGGAGGACTGAGGAGGACTGAGGAGGAGGACTGACGGTGACTGAGAAGGAGGAGGACTGAGGAGTACTGAAGAGGATGGCTGAGGAGGATGGCTGGGGAGGATGGCTGAGGAGGAATGAGGATGACTGAGGAGGATGACTGAGAGGGAGGAGGAGGAGGACTCAGGAGGAGGACTCAGAAGGAAGAGGAGGAGGACTCAGGAGAAGGACTCAGGAGGAGGACTTAGGAGAAATAAGAAGGAGGACTGAGGAGAACTGAGGAGGAGGAGGAGGAGGAGGAGGACTGAATAGGAGGAGGAGAAGGAGGGGGACTGGGAGAGGACTGGGGAGGAGGAGGACTGATGAGAAGGATGAGGAGGAGGACCCAGGAGAAGGAGGACTGAGGACCGAGGAGGAAGAGGAAGAGGATGAAGAGGAGGAGGAGGACTGAGGAGGAGGACTGAGGAGGACTGAGGAGGATGGCTGAGGAGGATGACTGAGAGGGAAGAGGAGGAGGAGGAGGACTCAGGAGGAGGAGGAGGACTGAGGAGGACTGAGAAGGAGGAGGAGGAGAAGGACTGAATAGGAGGAGGAGGAGGGGGACTGGGGGAGGACTGAGGAGGAGGACTGAGGAGGAGGATGAGGAGGAGGACTGAGGAGGACTGAGGACTGAGGAGGAAGAGGAGGAGGATGAAGAGGAGGAGGAGGACCCAGGAGGAGGACTCAGGAGGAGGAGGAGGACTGGGGAGAAAAGGACTGTTGAGGACTGATGAGGAGGACTGAGGACGAGGAGGAGGAGTAGGAGGAGACTGAGGAGGGGAGGAGGAAGAGGACTGAGGAAGATCAGGAAGACCCAGGGGGAGGAGGAGGAAGAGTAGGAGGAGGAAGCATCTAAATGTTATTTCCATTTTTGTCCGTTTTTGTCCATTTTTGTCCGTTTTTGTCCGCTCTATTTTTTGTCCGTTTTGAAAATATAGGGTACCGAACGGACAAAAAACATGATCCCCTATAACAGCAAAAATTGAACATTTTATTTAGCAATTTAGGTGTCCATTAATGTCCGCCTATGTCCGTCTATGTCCGCCTATGTCCGCCTATGTCCGCCTATGTCCGTCTATGTCCGCCTATGTCCGCCTATGGAGAAGGAGAAGGACTCAGGAGGAGGACTTAGGAGAAATAAGAAGGAGGACTGAGGAGAACTGAGGAGGAGGAGGAGGAGGAGGACTGAATAGGAGGAGGAGAAGGAGGGGGACTGGGAGAGGACTGGGGAGGAGGAGGACTGATGAGAAGGATGAGGAGGAGGACCCAGGAGAAGGAGGACTGAGGACCGAGGAGGAAGAGGAAGAGGATGAAGAGGAGGAGGAGGACTGAGGAGGAGGACTGAGGAGGACTGAGGAGGATGGCTGAGGAGGATGACTGAGAGGGAAGAGGAGGAGGAGGAGGACTCAGGAGGAGGAGGAGGACTGAGGAGGACTGAGAAGGAGGAGGAGGAGAAGGACTGAATAGGAGGAGGAGGAGGGGGACTGGGGGAGGACTGAGGAGGAGGACTGAGGAGGAGGATGAGGAGGAGGACTGAGGAGGACTGAGGACTGAGGAGGAAGAGGAGGAGGATGAAGAGGAGGAGGAGGACCCAGGAGGAGGACTCAGGAGGAGGAGGAGGACTGGGGAGAAAAGGACTGTTGAGGACTGATGAGGAGGACTGAGGACGAGGAGGAGGAGTAGGAGGAGACTGAGGAGGGGAGGAGGAAGAGGACTGAGGAAGATCAGGAAGACCCAGGGGGAGGAGGAGGAAGAGTAGGAGGAGGAAGCATCTAAATGTTATTTCCATTTTTGTCCGTTTTTGTCCATTTTTGTCCGTTTTTGTCCGCTCTATTTTTTGTCCGTTTTGAAAATATAGGGTACCGAACGGACAAAAAACATGATCCCCTATAACAGCAAAAATTTAACATTTTATTTAGCAATTTAGGTGTCCATTAATGTCCGCCTATGTCCGCCTATGTCCGTCTATGTCCGCCTATGTCCGCCTATGTCCGCCTATGTCCGTCTATGTCCGCCTATGTCCGCCTATGTCCGTCTATGTCCGCCTATGTCCGCCTATGTCCGCCTATGGAGAAGGAGAAGGACTCAGGAGGAGGACTTAGGAGAAATAAGAAGGAGGACTGAGGAGAACTGAGGAGGAGGAGGAGGAGGAGGACTGAATAGGAGGAGGAGAAGGAGGGGGACTGGGAGAGGACTGGGGAGGAGGAGGACTGATGAGAAGGATGAGGAGGAGGACCCAGGAGAAGGAGGACTGAGGACCGAGGAGGAAGAGGAAGAGGATGAAGAGGAGGAGGAGGACTGAGGAGGAGGACTGAGGAGGACTGAGGAGGATGGCTGAGGAGGATGACTGAGAGGGAAGAGGAGGAGGAGGAGGACTCAGGAGGAGGAGGAGGACTGAGGAGGACTGAGAAGGAGGAGGAGGAGAAGGACTGAATAGGAGGAGGAGGAGGGGGACTGGGGGAGGACTGAGGAGGAGGACTGAGGAGGAGGATGAGGAGGAGGACTGAGGAGGACTGAGGACTGAGGAGGAAGAGGAGGAGGATGAAGAGGAGGAGGAGGACCCAGGAGGAGGACTCTGGAGGAGGAGGAGGACTGAGGAGGAGGACTGAGGAGGACTGAGGAGGATGGCTGAGGAGGATGACTGAGAGGGAAGAGGAGGAGGAGGAGGACTCAGGAGGAGGAGGAGGACTGAGGAGGACTGAGAAGGAGGAGGAGGAGAAGGACTGAATAGGAGGAGGAGGAGGGGGACTGGGGGAGGACTGAGGAGGAGGACTGAGGAGGAGGATGAGGAGGAGGACTGAGGAGGACTGAGGACTGAGGAGGAAGAGGAGGAGGATGAAGAGGAGGAGGAGGACCCAGGAGGAGGACTCAGGAGGAGGAGGAGGACTGGGGAGAAAAGGACTGTTGAGGACTGATGAGGAGGACTGAGGACGAGGAGGAGGAGTAGGAGGAGACTGAGGAGGGGAGGAGGAAGAGGACTGAGGAAGATCAGGAAGACCCAGGGGGAGGAGGAGGAAGAGTAGGAGGAGGAAGCATCTAAATGTTATTTCCATTTTTGTCCGTTTTTGTCCATTTTTGTCCGTTTTTGTCCGCTCTATTTTTTGTCCGTTTTGAAAATATAGGGTACCGAACGGACAAAAAACATGATCCCCTATAACAGCAAAAATTGAACATTTTATTTAGCAATTTAGGTGTCCATTAATGTCCGCCTATGTCCGTCTATGTCCGCCTATGTCCGCCTATGTCCGCCTATGTCCGTCTATGTCCGCCTATGTCCGCCTATGGAGAAGGAGAAGGACTCAGGAGGAGGACTTAGGAGAAATAAGAAGGAGGACTGAGGAGAACTGAGGAGGAGGAGGAGGAGGAGGACTGAATAGGAGGAGGAGAAGGAGGGGGACTGGGAGAGGACTGGGGAGGAGGAGGACTGATGAGAAGGATGAGGAGGAGGACCCAGGAGAAGGAGGACTGAGGACCGAGGAGGAAGAGGAAGAGGATGAAGAGGAGGAGGAGGACTGAGGAGGAGGACTGAGGAGGACTGAGGAGGATGGCTGAGGAGGATGACTGAGAGGGAAGAGGAGGAGGAGGAGGACTCAGGAGGAGGAGGAGGACTGAGGAGGACTGAGAAGGAGGAGGAGGAGAAGGACTGAATAGGAGGAGGAGGAGGGGGACTGGGGGAGGACTGAGGAGGAGGACTGAGGAGGAGGATGAGGAGGAGGACTGAGGAGGACTGAGGACTGAGGAGGAAGAGGAGGAGGATGAAGAGGAGGAGGAGGACCCAGGAGGAGGACTCAGGAGGAGGAGGAGGACTGGGGAGAAAAGGACTGTTGAGGACTGATGAGGAGGACTGAGGACGAGGAGGAGGAGTAGGAGGAGACTGAGGAGGGGAGGAGGAAGAGGACTGAGGAAGATCAGGAAGACCCAGGGGGAGGAGGAGGAAGAGTAGGAGGAGGAAGCATCTAAATGTTATTTCCATTTTTGTCCGTTTTTGTCCATTTTTGTCCGTTTTTGTCCGCTCTATTTTTTGTCCGTTTTGAAAATATAGGGTACCGAACGGACAAAAAACATGATCCCCTATAACAGCAAAAATTTAACATTTTATTTAGCAATTTAGGTGTCCATTAATGTCCGCCTATGTCCGCCTATGTCCGTCTATGTCCGCCTATGTCCGCCTATGTCCGCCTATGTCCGTCTATGTCCGCCTATGTCCGCCTATGTCCGTCTATGTCCGCCTATGTCCGCCTATGTCCGCCTATGGAGAAGGAGAAGGACTCAGGAGGAGGACTTAGGAGAAATAAGAAGGAGGACTGAGGAGAACTGAGGAGGAGGAGGAGGAGGAGGACTGAATAGGAGGAGGAGAAGGAGGGGGACTGGGAGAGGACTGGGGAGGAGGAGGACTGATGAGAAGGATGAGGAGGAGGACCCAGGAGAAGGAGGACTGAGGACCGAGGAGGAAGAGGAAGAGGATGAAGAGGAGGAGGAGGACTGAGGAGGAGGACTGAGGAGGACTGAGGAGGATGGCTGAGGAGGATGACTGAGAGGGAAGAGGAGGAGGAGGAGGACTCAGGAGGAGGAGGAGGACTGAGGAGGACTGAGAAGGAGGAGGAGGAGAAGGACTGAATAGGAGGAGGAGGAGGGGGACTGGGGGAGGACTGAGGAGGAGGACTGAGGAGGAGGATGAGGAGGAGGACTGAGGAGGACTGAGGACTGAGGAGGAAGAGGAGGAGGATGAAGAGGAGGAGGAGGACCCAGGAGGAGGACTCTGGAGGAGGAGGAGGACTGGGGAGAAAAGGACTGTTGAGGACTGATGAGGAGGACTGAGGACGAGGAGGAGGAGTAGGAGGAGACTGAGGAGGGGAGGAGGAAGAGGACTGAGGAAGATCAGGAAGACCCAGGGGGAGGAGGAGGAAGAGTAGGAGGAGGAAGCATCTAAATGTTATTTCCATTTTTGTCCGTTTTTGTCCATTTTTGTCCGTTTTTGTCCGCTCTATTTTTTGTCCGTTTTGAAAATATAGGGTACCGAACGGACAAAAAACATGATCCCCTATAACAGCAAAAATTGAACATTTTATTTAGCAATTTAGGTGTCCATTAATGTCCGCCTATGTCCGCCTATGTCCGTCTATGTCCGCCTATGTCCGCCTATGTCCGCCTATGTCCGTCTATGTCCGCCTATGTCCGCCTATGTCCTGTCCTTTTTGGATTCTATGAGACAAGCGGACATAGACGGACGTGACACCCCCCCCCCAATAATTAATTGAATTTTCAACAACAACAAAAAATCAAGATAAAGTAAAGTCATCTAAGACTGCATATTTTAGTTTTATCATTTACCTGCCACGGTTGATAGGTTTGTCCATAGTCAGTACTCTTCTCCAGGACCCATCTTGCTGGCCGGGGAGAGTTGGCGGCTTTGAGCACGAAGTAGACAACTTGATATTCCTGGGTGAATTTTAGATTCAGGAATTTAGGTATCTTCAGTTAAATTCATTAGCTAAATTTCCTGCAACATTACAAAAAGCAAGATATGAACCACTATTAATCTTTCAATACCTGGCCTAAGAAAAGCTCAATGTTCATCTTCTGATTGTAGTCGGGTATGGTAGCCAAACTGCTGCTTTGCCACCAGTTGTCTTCATCCTCGTCAATAGTGTTCTCAATCATGTGCTGTCCCGTCTCACAGGTGTTACAGTACTGTCCGTCTATATACGAGCCCGGATACCGGCTGTACGTGTAGTCCAGACCTACACAGAGAACAGGTTTTAGAGTTTAGATGTGAGACAAAGTTTAGATTTAAAATAATTGTAAATAAACAAAGATTGTTGTGTGTTATTGTTTAATAAAATATTCGTTATCATTAAAGAAGTTTTACCAGGTGCAAGAGGGGTTCCAGTAAGTAAACAGTACAGTTCCGGACCGTCCTCTCCACATGAGTTAGAAGCAGATATCGCTCTGAAGGGTGAGGGTTGTTAGGTCAGGGAGAGATTACAGTTTTGCCAAACAGATTTTTTCATGTAAAATCTTAACAAAAACCCTATACCAATTTTGAATCTCCTTCCCAATGCACAAACTTTTTAAAGAAACAGAACTTACTCAAGATGCTTGACGAGATTGAAGGTAGAGTTCAGAGAGAACGATTCCTGGTCCTGAATTGAGTCAGGGACGCAGCAGAGCAGAAGCAGCAGACTTTGCCACAACATATTGCTAATGGAATAGATATCCAATTAATAAAACTAACTTTGAATTTGATTTAATCTTTGTTCACAATCATGTGAAAAAATTCTGAAAAGTTCATTCTATTAACTGTGAAAGATTCACATTATATCATAAAACTTTAAAAAGTTAAACTGTATTGGGTTATAAAGTCATGATAAAATATTTAGGTGAAGATACAGAACTTATCAATAATTAGTAGATATTTAATAAATGATTAAAAGAACCAATTTTAAAGTTGCCATACTGCATGGAGGAATGGAGCAGGAGCAGCCACTGGTGGAGTGGGCTTTCTGCTGACTAGAAGAGCATACAGAGCAATCAGTCTCATTAAACCCTATGGCTCAAGGGTGCTGACTATTTCTTTCAACGGGAATCCCAGACTCACAACTATAACTGCTTATAGTCCGACCGAGGCAGCACTAGTTGAAGAAGCGGAGGATTTTCATAACACCCTTAGACAGGCTATGAACGATGTGCCAGCGCACCACCTGCTGATCACAGAGGGAGATATGAACGCCCGGCTTGGAAAGGTGAGTGAAGAAGATTCCCGTTGGTACTTTCATACTCGTACCAATCGGAATGGAGAGCTACTGAGAGATACTGCCCTGGAGTACGATATGGAAATTACCAATATCCGCTTCAGAAAGAAGGTCAACAAGAGGTGGACCTTCTTATCCGATGGGACACTTAACAAAGGTCAGATTGACTATATCCTCATACGGCGGAAGTGGAAAAACTCTTTAAAGAACACTGAAGTTTACAACACTTTTCAGTCGTTGGGATCTGATCACAGAGTTGTAGTGTGTAAGATCAAAGTTAGCTTTAGGAAAGGACACAGGCCTCCGAAAAAAGTTAACTATGATTATAGTGCCCTGAAGTCGGATGGTGAGCTTCAAAAAAAGTATGCAATTGAAGTTCGGAATAGATTCTCTGGCCTGGTAGAGGAGGATGATGGGGCCACTGAAAGCTACGGGAAGCTTGTGGTTGCTATTGAGGCGGCAAACAAGAGCCTTCTGCCAAAGAAGACTCGACAAAAGCAGATTGACCCCTCAAGTGACCCAAGAGTGGACAGTGCAAGGAGGGGACTGTTCCTGGCCAAGGACCAATACCATCAGGAGACTTGCGAGGAGAAGAGAGAGGAAGTCGCCACTAAAAAGGATTTGTTAAAGGCCTGCTACAAAGAGGTAGAGGAGGAGATCCTGAAAGGAAAGATCAGGAAAGTTGAGGATACTGCTGATCGTTGTAAGAACAAGGAAAGCTGGAAGCTTGTCAACGATATTTCAGGGAGGACAAATCCCAGCTGTGGACTCGTTGAAGGGGGCAGCTCAACAGAACGTCTCGAGAACTGGAGGAAGCACTTCTCTGGATTACTTGGACAGCCACCCACAGTCCCTGACAATAGTATTCCGATCAGGAATATACACCCTCCACTGAATATAGAGGATGGCCCGTTCACCGTTGAGGAACTACGTCTTGCCAAAAAGCAGATAGTAGAAGGTAAAGCTTATGGTGATGATGGTATCTCACCTGAAGTGATGAAGAGGGTGGACATTGATGACGTCATCCTGAAGTTCTGCAACGATGCACTATGTGATGGTCGCATGCCCGATCAATGGAAGCTCAGTAATATTGTTCCTGTGCCAAAGAAAGGGGACCTCACTAAGACCGACAACTACAGAGGAATATCTCTGACATCGATAGTCAGTAAAACTCTGAACAAAATGTTGCTGAACAGGATGAAGCCAAGTCTTGAGGAAGTTTTAAGGGACAACCAGAATGGCTTTAGACCTGGGCGCTCTACAACATCGCACATTCTTGCTCTACGAAGAATTATGGAGGGTGCTAGAGCCAAAAACCTAAAGGCCACCATGGTTTTCATTGATTTCAAGAAGGCGTTCGATAGTGTGCATAGAGGTTTGCTCATGAAGATACTGAAAGCATATGGCATACCAGAAGCCATAGTGCGGCTCATTGAGGGTATATATACGAGCACAAAGGCTAAAGTAGTTACAGCTGATGGTATAACAGAGATTTTTGATATCCTGGCTGGAGTACTGCAAGGAGACACTCTTGCCCCGTACTTGTTCATTATCGTGATTGACTATATCATGACAGTGACTATAGACGATGATGACTCGGACTCTGGGTTCACTCTCAGGCCTGCACGGAGTAGAAGGATTGGTGCCGAGAAGATCGCAGACGTCGAGTTTGCAGATGATGTTGCCCTTATCACTGATACCATTGAAGGGGCAAAACTACTCCTGGACAGGCTTGAGAAAGCAGCACTGAGTGTTGGGCTAGCCATGAACGACACTAAAACTAAGTTCATGACTCTGAACATGACAGAGGAGGCGAGTAGTCTTAATAGTTGTGGTGGAAACCAGCTGGAAAAGGTGACAGACTTTGTTTACCTTGGAGCATGGATAGCAACAACAGAGAGGGACCTGCGGGTCAGAAAAGCTAAGGCTTGGGCAGCCTGCCACAAGTTAAAGAAGATGTGGAAGTCTGACCTTAGAAGAAGACTAAAGATCCGTCTATTTGTTGCTACTGTGGAGTCAATACTTCTATATGGTTCTGAAACGTGGACGTTGACAGAGCAATTGAAGAAACGCATTGATGGCTGCTACACCAGAATGCTAAGGATGGCACTAAATGTGGATTGGAAGCAGCGCAAAACCAACAAAGAAGTCTATGGCAACCTACCAAGAGCAACCATGAAGATCCAAGAGCGCAGGATGCGACTAGCAGGCCATATCCACCGGCACCCAGAACTAGTCGCAAACCGCTTGCTACTCTGGGAACCAACTCATGGGGTGCGGAGTAGGGGGAGACCAGCCATGACTTATGTTGATAGCCTACGAGCTGACACGGGTCTCAACGACACTGGAGAAATGGGCGGACTTATGGCGGATAGAGTTTTATGGAGACAGCGCATCAATACTCGGACGCTGAAGCCGCCTTAAGTCAAGTAAGTCAAGTAAGTCATACTGCAACCTTTAGGTCCAAAAATATACCCATTATGCTCACTTAAAAACAACTCTAAATCAGTAAGCTGTCACTCTATTAATGCACCACACCGCTACCTCCACTCCTAATAGTTATACAATAAATTCTACAATCCTGATTTCGTATCGTGATGGAGACCGGTGTCCATAAAAAACTTTTACTAGGTTGCCGTTTGGTGTGAGCAATAGTGAATAGCACGCACAATCTTTTGCCCCGTCAACCTATATCTAATCTATTCAAAGAGTGACAACCATACTACACATTGAATTAGGATTCCTTTAAATATCAAATTGAATTATTGTAAACTTGTTTATTCTGTAATAAATGGCATAAAATTGAAATTTTTGTTTAACTGAAATTTTTGTTTAACTGAGAACAAAGAATTAAAGCCTCGAATGCCAGGATCAGCAGTTCGTCCTGAACAAGCAAGGGTTCAAAAACACTTTAGCACTAAGATATGCTCTACCTATTGCTAACATAGCCAAGAATTGTATTTGTGGTAAGAGAACACATACAACCACATCCTTCTCTGCAAGAAAGGAGGCCTTTGTTAACAGCAGACATAACCGCGCCTGAGAGACACCATTGCAAGCATACTTGAAAAGATCTGCAATGAGGTTGTTGTAGAGCCCATGCTCCAGCAATTTACTGGGGAAAGCCTTCGTCCAGGCAACATTCTGGACGCCGGGGCAAGGCTTGACATTGCAGCCAGAGGTCTGTGGTAAAAATGGAGATGGCATTCTTCAATATCTTCAATATAATCCAACGCTGACCACAATATACCCCAGCTAAGATGTATGCTAAACATGAGAGAGAAAAGGAAAGAAAATATGGAGACCGCTGCACCCTAATTGAAAAAGGAACCTGTAACGGCCTAGTATTCTCGACCACCGGAGGTACAGGCCCCCAGGGCCCAGGCAATTATGTTCCTTAAACGGGTAGCAACACTCCTGACAGCCACGACCAGCTACGACAAAAGCCTTGTCATGAAAAATCTCAGACATTGTTTGAGTTGCTTAAGACCGTACTCATCACTGTGAGAGGACACAGAGGACGGTGCCATCAGAAAGCAATCCCTTTTACGAGCTGGACCTCAATTTAGTGCACACTAGCAACGATGAAGACATGAAGACATCTTGAATTGTTGTTTTCATGAGCGGTGACAGTGTAGACGACCAGGAGTAGTCGTAGAGAACGTATACGAAGAGAACATAGAGAAGTAAGGAGAGGGAAAGAAGACAAGAATTTAATTTACTATAATATATCTCTGAAAACTGGCCACGGGCCTAAATATTACATATCAATCAATTACAATTCATTAACATTACCAATATTAAAAACTATCGAAAATATTCAAGAAAGTATTCTCTAGCCAAAGGGCTCAATATTTAAATCTAAATCTTCAATATTGTCTGGTTTATATCGCAACTTGGGCCCTCTGTCCCCCCTTATCGAAATAACCTATAATATATTGATTGTTATGAACACATGATAACTATTACTCGAGCAGTGATGACAGGATATGTAAAAGCATGTGGGACACATGCAGTGCAGTGAGAACTTGTGCTATTCATGCAGGGATGAGCATTTGTAGACCAAGATAGTGAAGCTAAAATGTTTGGAACAGTATACAGCTGTAATGCAATGTTGATTGATGCTTCATATCAAAGGCATTTAACTGCCTTAGAAGCTTTTGATGGGGGAAAGTTGAATAAAAAGAAAAAAATGTTGCACTCATGGTTTCAGAAGTCGATTTCAGGCATTGAACAATTATGTGGTATAGCAATTAACATGTAACAGGTAATACTTCGTAAAATATTTGTTCCAAGACCGCCGACGAGTCCAACTCGGCGCGCGTTTTGGTAGGTTATAAACTTATAATATAGCAATAGATAAGTTGAACATTGTTAATGGTCCGGCCCGGCGCGAGAAGAAAGCGGCGCGCGCTACTTCGAAGAAATTTAGACGAGTAACATCC